ACATGCGTGTGCGCGGCGTGCCTACCCTCCAGGCGCTCTTAACGAATCGACCACAACTGATCGTCCGTCTTTCAGGCCCGACCCGCCAGAAACTAGCAGCCGCCAGCCGCCTCTGCCTAGGGGTAAAAAACTCGAAATTTTCATGTACCCTGTTTACTGAATTATTTAAATTATAGAGAATATATAGATAACGTGTGATTACTTTTCATTATTATGGATATCACTGATTAGGGGGCATTATAATTGATTATCTTGATTATTGAAGACTACTAGCGATAACTTGAGTGCCGGCCTCACAAAGCTGTCAAAATGTCGAAAAATTGAATATTGCTGACTTTGTCCGGCCACGGCGCGCCACGGCGTCCATTCTAGCTGTGTTCAAAAGCCTCCCTCAACGTCCTAGTACTCTTCGGACCCTTCTTCTCCATGCCCCGCCTCGGGAATGTGCCGGGGCGAGTCGGTTACTTGATACCCCTTCACCTCTGCACGGTAGTTCCTGGTATTTCCGGGAATGTAGGTCAATTCCCTGGAGATGGTGTGTGTGTGTGTGTTTGTGTGTGTGTGTGTGTGTGTGACGTGTGGTTGCGAGGCTCAGGTAGAGCTCATTGGTCTGGCCTCGACGTCGCCGCCGAATTGTTGTCTCGTGTTTGGACAGGGAGGGGGGGGGGGGGATTGGTCTTCGTGGAAACGGGGAGCGCACAATGATTAGCAAGCACCGCACCAGGCGGGCAATGCCACACTGCCCACATCGCACCTTACGTGCGATGCGTCCTGAAACAACCTCTGGAAAGCCATTTCCAACTTAACTTGCGATGCAAAAGCATTGCACTGAAAATTGTTGAGATCGATAAACGGATTTGAACGCATTGCACTTGCAGACGGCAAAAACGATTCCTGGTTTTCAGCCTGCAGAAAAGACGCAGGCGATTGTCGACGAGTCCCTGGGCGAACCGGGAGCCGCTTTTACCGCGCCCCCTATTGACGCTCGCAGAGTTTGGATTCTCAATGGTTGTTCCTGGAAGCGACCCGGGAATGCAGTGGGGTGCTGTCCGGGGAGTCTGGGACGCGGATCAATCATGCGTGCGGACTTTTGCCCCTTCGTTTTGTGTTCACAGCGCACACGGCACACGGCGCCCCTTTCAGGCGCACACGTCAACGCGGGGACAGACAGGCGGTGGAACTGCGGACCTCACCGGCAAAATCATTTACTGATTCCAAACGCTCTAAACTATCTTCACGGACTTCAAGCGTACACTCTACGGACAGTTTTGCGCAAGCGTAATTACGGATGGATCGAGCTTGTAACACAGATAATTTTATCCGAATTTCGAAGGCTTTCGTCATCGTAACGTGCGTACAAATAAACTTGTCCGTTGTGCGGGTACGTGAAGAAGTTGTGAAAAGCAGTGTCTTCGACCTGTCTCTCTCGCCCCTTCGGAGTGAGAGAGAGGCAGAGGCGGAGGGACGGAAGCTCGGAATCAGCGCGCCGAGCATCTTGGAGTGGGTTGCGGAATGACACGCGACCAGGGTTGCGGTCCCGGCCTCGGCGTGTCACGTGCGCCAGCCGATGGACAAGGGCGGGCCGGGGGAGGGGGGGGTATCGGCTTGGCTTTCGGCTTGCCCCCGCGGCGGCATGTCCAATAACGCTGTCGGGGCGGTGATGACGCCGTCATGACGCCGTCGCGCAAATAGCATAACCCTTGTCGTTTCACCCCATGCAGCCCGCCCCGCGTGCAGCCCGCCCGTGCAGCCCGCCCGTGCAGCCCGCCCCGTGCAGCCCGCCCGTGCAGCCCGCCCCGTGCAGCCCGCCCCGTGCAGCCCGCCCCGTGCAGCCCGCCCCGCGTGCAGCCCGCCCGTGCAGCCCGCCCCGTGCAGCCCGCCCCGTGCAGCCCGCCCGTGCAGCCCGCCCGTGCAGCCCGCCCCGTGCAGCCCGCCCCGTGCAGCCCGCCCCGCGTGCAGCCCGCCCGTGCAGCCCGCCCCGTGCAGCCCGCCCCGTGCAGCCCGCCCGTGCAGCCCGCCCGTGCAGCCCGCCCCCGGCAGCCCGCCCCCGGCAGCGCGGGACCAGAGACCTCAGTCGGGCTCACTGCTCCAGCGAAAAGCAGCCCGACGCCACGGAGTGACCAGCCCGAGCCCGGCCCGGCCCGAGAGGACCAGCCCGACCCGGCCCGGCCCGAGCTCGGTGCCCAGAGCCCGACGCAGCCCGGAGCAGCCCGCTCGGGCTGCTCAGCCCGACGCGCCTAGGAGGCCGGTTCGCTGTTCGATTCCAGCCAGAGGCATTCGTTTTTCACGGCCTAGGAAACGTTTTTTTGGTTGTTACTTTCGCAAATCTGCATATTTAGTATCTGATCTTATTCATTGCGATGACAAAAAACGGAAATGACCAACTTTAACCGACGCTCTCGGGCCCTAAGTGGCATCGAACCGGCGACCTAGCGCTGCCGGTCAGCCGACGCTCGCTCCCGGCGCCAGCTCGGCCTGCGCGGCAGCGCCTGTCTGCCAGCTCGGCCTGTGCACCTTCCGGACCAGCCCGAAGCAGTGAGCCCGAAGGCATACAGGACATGAGCCCCGTCCCGTTTGAGCCCCGATGGTCTGAGCCCCGACCTGAGCCCCAACTTGAGCCCCATTTGAGCCCCGACTTGAGCCCCGACCAAAGCCCCAATATCCAGAGCCCGGATTGAGCCCCGACCTGAGCCCCGTTTGAGCCCCATTTGAGCCCCATTTGAGCCCCGTGGCAAAAAATCATGCAAAAAGTCTTCACAAATAGTTATTTTCGGCCTCGGGGCTCTAACGGGGCTCAAACCGGGCTCAAATGGGGCTCAAACGGGGCTCAGGTCGGGGCTCAATCCGGGCTCTGGATATTGGGGCTTGGGTCGGGGCTCAAGTTGGGGCTCAACCCGGGCTCAGGCTGGGGCTCAAGCCCGGGCTCAGAACAACGGGGCTCAAACGGGACGGGGCTCATGTCCTGTATGCCAGCCCGAATGAGGTCTCTGCGCGGGACGCACAGTCTCGCCATGTGATTTGCTGGTCGCACCGCTTCAAGCGATTCGGCCCACTTCCGGCCCGCCAGATTGAAATTGGCTCGATGTCTGCGCTATGACTGCGCCATGGCTACGCCATGACTGCGCGGCGGGGCGGGGGTGGCGGGCCGGGCGTGCCGCGACCGTCGTCGTCGGCCTCACGGCGCCCTGGGAGGAAGCGTCACAATGAGACGAAAAGAAAGCCGGGAAGCGGGGCCGGGGCCGCGGCCGGTGGGGCTGAGCCGAGGCGACTTCGGCTTGCTGCGCTCGCCGCCAACGCCGTTATTCCCGCCAAAGTAGTGCCGCCGCGAGTCTCTCTCGCCGCGCCAAAGGCCCCAAAGGCCCCAAAGGCCCAAAAGGTGAACAAATGCCGCGCGCCTTCAAAGTCGCGGCGGCAAAGAGACAGTGTAGCGCCGCCTCGCCGCCTTGTCTCCAGTGCTGCAAAGGTGGGCGCGAGCTGCCCTTCCAGTGCCTGCCCTTCCCGCGCATACCCGCCCCGCCTCTGCCTCATTTGCATGTGGCGTTGGATTGCGCAACGGCAGATGCGCGGAGCGAGGTGTGGCGTGGTGTGGTGAGGTGTGGCGCGGTGTGGCCGAGACGGACTCGCGGTGCGGTGGCGGCGGTGAGCCTTCGCCTCGCTGCGCCGCGCCGCGCCGCGCCGCGCCCCGCCGCGCCCCGCCCCGCCCCGCCCCGCCCCGCCCCGCCCCGCCCCGCCCCGGTTGGAGTGGGCGCCCCGCGGTGGTGGTGCAGCGCCAGAGCGCCCTCGCCTTGGTCGGTCTCTCGGTGACACAGGCCAAATGGAAATGCTGACGAAATAAAAACATAGCTTGAACGATACGATGAAACTGGGAATCGGTAAATCGCATGGTTGTGAATCAATCTTATTGACTTCTGGTGCCATACTTGTTTGAACCGAAGAAAGAGTTTCTGCGTGCGAAGAAGTTCAAAGTGATGTTGTTCATAGGTTTTGAACGGTTCCAAACAGGAATTTTGTTCGGAGCCATTCGCGTTTTCATCTCCGATCGGGGTCTGGCCACGCCGTGAGCGAACCCGAGGCCAGGCGAGATGAAACCCGGTCAGCCTGTCTGTCGGCCTGTCTGTCTCTCTGCCTGTATGTATTGCCGTTTCCTACTTTGTGGAGCAAGGATGCAGAAAATTCTGGTCATTCACTGGAATGACTGATCAATTGCAGGAAAAGTTGAATCAGTCAGCGGGTGAGCTCGCACACGCGCGTCTAACAGACGAGTCGCGCAGCCCGGCAGGCCCACGCACGGCGACGGGGCGACGGGGCGACGGGGCGACGGGGCGACGGGGCGACGCGGCGACGCGGCGAGGACGCGGTGCGCAGCCATGTGGACAAGACAGCGGCGAGCGTCACGGCGGCAAGGCGCGCGGCCACGTCGCGGGTGTCAAGATTTTCAGCAGTGTGGCCTGGAGCGGTCCACTGCCGATTCCAAGCCGTGGGGCGAGCGCGCTGCTTTTTGGTTTCTTGGAACGGCAACGCATTCATACTGCACTGGGTTTCTGCTTAGTTGATTCAAACGGACCTTTCGAATGCTAAAAGCGGAGGTGGCACGGTGCGGCGGGGCAGAGAGTGGCGTGGCCTTGTACTTACGACCTGACGTGACCTGACCGGCCCGGCTGCTGCAGTCCCCGCTCCGTCCCGCCCCGCCCCGCCCCGCCCCGCCACGCCCCACTCCACGCCGCCCCGCCCCGCCCCGCCGCTCCACCGGCCGCGACGAGCCAAGGCGCGGAGCGCGGAGCCGAGGATGCTGCAGAGAATAATAGACTGCGAGGGGGCGTCCGTAACACAGCACAGCGCACCTGTGTGTGGGGAGAGGGGGGCCTTCCCGTTAACACTGTGTGACACTGAGGGCTGGCTCGTGGGACAGTGCTCAGTGCTGGTCACCGCCAAAACACTTAGTGTTCCATTGTTGTTCCGCTGTTTTTGCCGTTGCCTGTAGCGCGCCTTTCTTTGTGCAGGATGGCGCGCAAGGTGGCGCCCAGTCACTACATGGCGGCGCCGCCGTCGGAGCGCGCTGGCGTGCTGCAGGGCTACTCCACGGACGGCGAGGAGAGCCGGGCGCCGTCGGACCGCACCCTGTCCGAGTACATGGTGGCCAACGAGCGTGCCGCCGTGCTGCCGCGCCACTCCAGGTAAGGCGCGGGCCGCGCTGCCTTGGCGCTGCCTTGGCGCTGCCCGCCTACAGTCCACTACAGTCCCACACGGCGCGGCCGAGGCCGAGGCCGCGGCACAGTGGGCCAGAAGACCGGTGGGAGGCGGCCAAAATTCTGGACGCGTTTTAAGCTCCAGAGTCCCTGAATGGGACTCGAACCGAACGTGTGACGTGACCCCACCAAAGGATTGCTCCCCGAACGAGGAATCCCATACCGGAGTCCTGCTAGCGACTATCCGGAACTCAAAACGCGTCTAGAATTTTGACCGCCTCCACCGGTCTTCTCGCCCACTGTGCGAGGTCGCTCTAACCCGGCTTGGCCTCTTGCAGGGACAGGGAGTGGGCGCACGTGCACCAGACCCATGGCGCACGCAGCCCCTCCCGGGGCCCGCCGAGGGCGCCGTCGAGGAACTCGCGGTCCTCGCGGCACCAGGGCGCCAACCACCTCGACGACGACTCGAGCGACATCTACGTGACGAGCGCCGTGTACCGGGCGCCGTCGGAGTTCAGGTAAGTCGGATTTCTGGATGCACCGTTCCTTTTGGCAGAGGCTTTGCGACGCCCGTGCTGAGTGCGCCTTTGATGTCCCCCAGCCGCGGCTCACGGGGGCCTCCGCCCGGCCCGCCCAGCCACTACTCGTACCGCTCCAGGCCGCCGTCCGAGGTGTCCACGGTGCGCACCATCACCAAGACGGGTCGCAAGGCGGGCGTGGTGGTGGAGACCATGTCGGCGCCCAACCCCTTCTGCCCCAACACCAAGGGCGTGTGCTGCCTGCTGCTGCTGCTCAACCTGGGCCTCATCCTCGTCACGCTGGGCTTCGTCATCGTCATCCAGTTTTTCGAACCCTTTTTCGTGTGGTGAGTACCCTTCGCTTTTATCCCTCACTTTCCGAACCGCCTCTAGCTGACGCTGAGCCTTTCCCCCCCGCAGGATCCTGGGCATCGTGTTCCTGGTGTTCGGCTTCCTCACGCTCATCGGCAGCCTGGTGTACTGCGTGTACGTGTGCCGGGACGCCAAGAGCCCTCGCGAGGTGGCCGCCGAGCCGCACTACTGGACGCACCACTGGCAGAAGAACTTCAGCACGCCCGAGATCCGCTACAAGTCGGAGGAGAAGTACCCCGACGACCGATTCAGCGACCGCTACTCGGTCGGCAAGTACTCCGAGAAGTACTCGGACCGAGGCGGAATGCCGCACCGCGACCGCTACTGAGCATGCTGTGCACAAAGACCACCCAGCACGGCGATACCCCCCGCCGCGGCGTGGGCTCGGCTGCAGTGCAGAGTATTGGCGGCTAGGGCTGCAGTGCGGAGTATCGGCGGCGAGGCCTGCAGCGCGAGTTGCAGCGGCCTTACCCCACGCGTCAGGGTGCCTTGCCCAGCCGACCGCGGGAGTACTTGCACGCTCGGGTCCCCTCTCGCTTGGCTCGCCCAGCCGCCAATGCAAGTTGTAAATCTTTCAAAGGTTTTCGTCGGAAGCAAAAGTGTTTGCTTTAAAAAGAAATGGAGTCGGAGCATGACCTGAATTCAGGGTTACCGTACAGAACCGCGGTTACTAGTACTACTAACTGCAAGGCGTGGGTGACGTCTACGAGGGTGGCGCCGTGGTGCGAGGTACCAGCAGTGTCCTTAGTGTCAACAATTCACCAGTTAAATTTCTGCCGTCTAAACGGCAAATGCTTAATGTCTGGGGCTATGACGTTACGAAGCTTCAAGCAACATTTCGAACGTTGATTTTGGAGCTGGGAAATGATAGTAAGAGCCCAGAGACGTACGCCGAAATATGTGAACAGAGAATTGCTTAGTGAATGGCAAATTAAGAACAACACTAGGTGCCGCACAAACTAAACTTATTGAGACTGCCTAACTAGTTACCAATTGGAACGACTCTCCGGCACATTGCGTGCCTTGATATGAAATGCGGGTGTAAAAGGGCGCTAAGAAGAATAATAGGCCGCTGTATTTTAAAAACAGATAGCCCCAAACCTGCTGTGTTAGAAAAATGCGTAGGTGGGGGTGGGTTCCTGCCAATCCCCGTTTGTGGTGCTATAAGTGAGACTGACTGCTTGGAAGTAGTCTGGTGCTTAGTTAAAGCCGGAAATTGGTGTGCAGCGTTGTGAGCTATTTTACAATTATTAATCACGATCTTCCATTCTACGTTTCGAACACGGTGTCTGTACTTCATTGCGCGCTGCCATTGTTTACAGTTCCCCCTGTTAGTCTTGATCGGAGCTTGAAGGGTTTTTCGACTAACAAACTAAACGGTTGATGGGTACTTTTTTCAAAGCACCGGTTGAAACAAACAGGATTAGTAAGCGGGTGCTAGGCAAACAACGCTGCGTGTTTTTGTAATTATATTCAATTGTCAGTACATTCGTGTAAAACAAAGATATTAATATTTATTTAATGAATGTACATATTTAAGATAATCATAAGTGTCACTTCAGTATGATGTAACAAAGTTTATTACCTGTGATGCATTCAGTTTCAGTGCAATAAAAATTACATATTTGAATCAACTTAATTGTTCTTTTCCTATTACAATCCACCCCTACCTCCCCTCCCCCTCCCGTAAAAAATTAATAAATTAATTAGGGAACATAATACTTTTAGCTTACTGTTGCCTGGTTTGTTTACAAGTTCTTGGTGTTTCCGTGGTATGTGTGTGAGGGTTGTGGGGGGGGGGGGAAATCAAAAGGTCTGGGCATTTCTTTACATCATATTTAATAAATTACGAAAATTAACTAATTGTTATTGAGACAATGTGTAAAAGTGTACAGTTTGCGACGACTAACTAGCGAGCTGCAAATATTTACAATGTGGTACTACCAAGGATCACAGGCGAGGGATTGCGAAGACGATCATCTTAGAACCTAGAAAAAAGATAGACGGTGTGAGTGCAAGTAGCAGTGCGAGGAAGTAAAGAATCTCTTTAAACTCTCCAATACTTACTGAACACCACCAGGCTGGCCATACTCCGCGGCAGGAGTGTACACGGGAGCGGGGTAGGGCTTGGGGTCTTCTACGGCGGGTGCATACAGCACTTTCGGGGCCTCTGGCAGGGGGAGGGGAGCAGGGGCTGGTGGAGGGGGAGGGGGAGGGGCGTACTCGGCTTTCGGGGGACCGTACTCGGGGGCAGGGGCGGCGTACACGGGTGCAGGCACTGGAGCCGGCGGAGGTGCGGGGGCAGCGTACACTGGGGCAGGGGCGGGGGCAGCGTACACGGGTTCTGGGACGGGGGCCGGAGGAGGAGCGGGGGCGGCGTACACTGGGGCAGGGGCAGGGGCGGCGTACACGGGCTCAGCGACTGGAGGAGCGTACGGCTTGGGGTCTGCCACAGCGGGGGCATACAGAACCTTGGGGGCTTCAGGTAGGGGGAGGGGAGCAGGGGCTGGGGGTGGGGGAGGAGGAGGGGCGTACTCTTCCTTGGGAGGGCCGTACTCGGGGACCGGAGCGGCGTAGACGGGCTCTGGGGCAGGGGCGGCGTACACGGGTGCAGGTACTGGAGCTGGCGGAGGTGCGGGGGCAGCGTACACAGGGGCGGGGGCTGGTGGAGCGTACACGGGCGCTGGGACGGGGGCCGGAGGAGGAGCGGGGGCAGCGTACACTGGGGCAGGGGCAGGGGCGGCGTACACGGGCTCAGCGACTGGAGGAGCGTACGGCTTGGGGTCCTCTACGGCAGGGGCGTACAGCACCTTGGGAGCTTCCGGCAGGGGAAGGGGTGCGGGTGCTGGGGGTGGGGGCGGAGGAGGGGCGTACTCCTCCTTAGGAGGCCCATACACTGGCTCTGGGATCGCAGCAGGGGGTCCGTACACGGGCTCCGGTGCGGGCGCAGGGGCGGGTGCTGCGTACACGGGCGCAGGGGCGGGTGCGGGAGGGGCGTAGACTGGCGCCGGGGCTGCGGCGGGGACGGGGGCGGCGTAGACGGGGTCGGGAGTCGCCAGTGGTGCTGGTGGCGGCGGAGGTGGCGGCGGGGCGTACTCGGACTTGGGGGTGCCGTAGTTGTTGCTGACCGCGTCGTTCTGGAGCTGCTGAGAGAAGCCCTGCTGGAAGGTCTGCTGGAAGTCGTTCTGGAGTCCGCGCTCGCCCTGGGTCGGCACGGTGAAGTCACTGGGCGGCGCCACTGCGAAAACAGGTGACTCCTCGCTGGCCTGCGCCACGAAGCCGGTCTGGGCCGTGGGGGTGCGGATCTGGAAAGAACAAGAGCCGTGCGGTCAGAGCAAGAAGGCGCCGAGTGGCTCGCGACACGCGGTTCGCCGTTACTCGCCGACCGCACGAGCAACCGCACCAGCGAGCCCCGAGGCGACGGGCAGCCGGACGTGTTTTTCCGTGTTTTGGTGCGTGCGGCGCCAGGGGGCGCCACCGGGAGGGGCGGCACCGGCCGCCAGCGCGGGGACATCGCCGCAGCCGGTGCAGCTGTCACCAACACCAAGATCCGTGACCGCACACCCGACCGCACGGTCTCGGTCAGACCAGATTAGGCGGCGGGACTCTGGAGGACGTGCCGACTGGACGCCAGACCAACCCCACTGCAGCAAACCCGAATAGCGCCAGCACTTCTTGGCGTGGACGCCGGTTAGCGCGTTAGCGCGCACGGCAAGGTGGTTGCTCGGGGAACCGACAAAGGCGCCGGCAAGGTGGCGCTTAACTCACCGCGGTGAAGGTGTTGCCAGTGGAGGGGTTGAAGCGGATCGAGCCAGGCTGCTGCTGCTGCTGGAACCTCACTGAGGGCGGGATGGTGTCGAACTTGTTGGGGTGGCCGAACCTGAAGGCGCTCGGCGGCGGGGGCGGCACGGGCTGGGGGTTGGGCCTCTGGGCCGTCTTGGTGGCGGTCGCCACCGCGACAAGGGCGAGGGCAACGATCAGTCTCTGGAACAGGCAACGCAAGGTTCAGAAAGCCCACGTTTGAATAAAAATAAATTGCCTTGTTCGCATTTGGGCACACAGCTTTCGGACATATCTTCATCTTCCGCTGACACGGAGCTGCAGACTTGCCGGACAATGGGCCAAGTTCGGTGCCGTAGCCAAGTCGAACACTCAAAGAGAAGCAAGGTCGGGGCGAAAGCTTTGGCTGGAGAGGGAGAGACTCACCATGTTGGTCGTGCGTGGGGCGACTGGGTGCTACTGGCTGCACTGGGAGGGCTGTCAATTTATACCTCTCTCCCACCACCCGCGAGCTGCCCTCCGCTGCCATTGGCCAAGCGGCGCCCCGGGGCAGGAAAGAGAGGCCGTGCGACCAGCTCTGTTATTTTACCATAGAAAACTGAAAAGTATCCTAAAATATTACCGTAATTCCAACCTGCGGCGACAATTGGAAAAATTTTGGGGCTTTTTGAGGCTTGTGCGGACTGATTTCGACGGGTCCATATACATGCAAACTGATTGAAAGTTGCCTGCCCTCAAGCTGGAATGCTGGAGAAGACGGGGTGGAATCAAAACAATATCTTCTTGGATGGGAGCTTTTGGGAGGAGAGATTTCTTTAAGTTCTTTGCTCACAAACCACATATTATCTCACACAGGAACTTCTTTTAAGGGAATGTACCCAACTGTTTTCTTTGGCTGCGGTGCTACTCGTGTTGCTGTGGTGATTCACATGTTTTATACATTTTTTATAAAAAGTAGCAACTTGCTTTCAATTTAATAAGCTGGATTATGCGACCCTCATTTGTTTTACGGGTGGACATGGTTGGGGTTTGCGTTAATATTTTTTGTGTGATTGGCAAACCCTCCACTCCAAGTTTATTGTCCTCAAGGACCAAGAAGCGACCGCCAACACCGCCAGGCATGTGGCGGGGGCTTATGTAAGGTATGTCGATTGCCTTTCCACAAATCAGACTGATGGAATTCGCCGCACGTGAGAGAACTCGTCCATGACAAACTCTGGCAAGTGCGCGACCTCGCCCACAGCGACCTCGCCCACAGCGGCGCTTGTCCCCGGCAGGCCGGCAGCTTGCCGAGGGCCTGGGGCTGCCTGGGGCTGCCTGGGGCACGGTCCGGAGAGATGCGAAGAAATGGCCCTGGCTACCCTAATGACCCGGAAGCAGCAAGCAGCTACCAGCACGTCACGTGGGGGCCGGCCGAAACCTCGCCTGCTGTTCAGGTTGAGCTTGCAGAAATGAGTTGTCTGCGCACTGAAAGTTGAAGCGTGTACTCTGTTGTACATACACATAAATTTAAGTGTGTGTGGGGGGGGGGATAGGGGGGTGGAATCGAGGGTGAATTCAGAAGTAACAACCTGATTCATGTGTCTCAGAACAGTTTTCGGCGCTAATGCTCCAAAACGAGGGTTGTCAATTTGTTGTCAATCGCATACCTGGCACAGAGCATGAGAGTGAAGGGCTAGTTGGGCGCTTGTGCTATCGGCAACAAGCGTTTGGACATTCTCTCATTTTCCTTTTTGTGATTCATGTGTCCGCCACGTGCGCCAGAACAGTGTACCGGTACGGTACCTCGTTTCCGTTCCATCGGCACAATCTCCCTCTCGGAGTAGTCACCCGAATTCGCAGAAAAAATGACTCTGCTTGTGTTTCCGCTTGGTCGCGTCTGCCTGGGTCTGCCTCGCCCCCACCCCCGTAGGGCCATGCAGTCGCGCAGACGGCTTTCGATTGTGATCTGCAATCCCTATCTGCGACTGGAAGGCGGCGCCCTCGGCATCGTGGACCGCGCAGCGCGGCAAGTCAAGACCCGGCGACTCCGCGCGCCGCCCGTGGGGTAGGCAACACTTCGCTCTCACAAGGCCACTCAACAACAGCTGCGCGCTGCGCGTCGTCGGCTGGGACGTCACTACGTCACCGGCTGGAGTCTCGAGGCGCCGTGGGTGTGGATGCAGCGGGCACCTGCCGTCCCCGTCCCCGGCCCCACACCGCACGCCCGCACGCCCCCGACGGACGGCCCGACGGCCCCCAACCTCCTCGCACTGTTGCGTGTCCGCCGCACCGCATTGAAGCACTTGTCGGGCGGGAGCGGGACCGTCACCGCGGTGCCCTGGGCCGCTTGGGCCGCTTGGGCCCTGCACGCCGCTCCGCCGCTCCGCCCGGCCGGCCGCCCGTCCCCGCGCGTCTTCCTGCCCCGTTCCCGCCTCTCTCCCCCTCCCGCTGTGATCACCAGGATAACGCGCCGCGCCGCCACGGCTCCGCGCTCCGCCGCCGGCGGGCCGGGCCGGCCGTCGGTCGTGCTCGCGGTGCTCGCGTCGCTCCGTAACCGTCAGTGTTTCTGTGCGGCGCGGCGCCAGTTCACCAGTACCCGGCCCGGCGACGCCCGCGAATCCAGGCGACCCTAACCTCAAAGGCCCGCTGTCGGTCCCGACTCGAAGGTAAGCGTCGTCAGCTCACGGCGGGAACGCGCAGCATTGGCTGTCCGGCATGGCATGTGACCACAGGTGACCCTCACTACTCGGTGCGAATGACATCGGCGAGCCACTTAACCGTGACTGAAAAACAAAATCACTACAGAAGAAAACTACGAGACAGCGGCGGGCTTGTGTTAAGTGATTGAGTTTTGTTGGGTGTGGCAAATCTTGCGCACCGTCGGGACCCCGGATATACTCCATGTCCCGGGCGAGAGGGGGGGGTACTTTTATATTAATTGGGTGGGGCTAATGGGATGGGAGCTGAGAGGCAGTGCATTTATGAGAACATTAGCGCATTTTGGTTCAAATGTCTACATGGTACACAAATTTGCGACGCCCAATCGGGTGAAAGCTCCGGGGGGGAGGGGCGTTTGTCCCCCTGCACCCCACTTTCGTGGTCCAAACATCTTCGAACCCACGCTCGCAGCGTACGAGCACGTAGGGAGTAGCGATACCGTTGGCACACTAGTGGCGGATCCAGTGGCGGCCTTTCTTGGGGGGGGAGCGCGTCGAAGTTGCATTTTTTGCCTACTTACAGGGGCAAAGTATGGCCCTTTGCCAACCCTTTGCAGTGCCATGTAAAGGGGGGGGGGCTGTATCAGCACCCGTCGTCCACTGGATTGACCTGATTGAGCATCGTTTTTTTTTCTTTTTCGATTCTTCTGTCCAGCCATATCAAATACCTGCAACATGGCCTCCGCGATTCCCCCTCTGGTCGAAACCCTCTGACAGACTCAACAAATAAGCCATCGGCAGACCAGGAATGCCACTGCTCTAAGCACAGAGTCAGCCACATTTTTGTAAACATGGAAGGATTCATCGAACCAAGACGTGGATTGTTTTTTTTGTGGGTTATTTTGGATGTCGTTCAATGCCAGGATTAGATTTGGCAACACCGTATTCCCGGGATGACAATAGTTGACAGAGAACACACAGCCGGAACTGATACGGTTTACCTGGCGCATTTCCACGGCGCGAGGGCACGAGACCATACTGTTTGTGTTGGCAGCGGCTGTGGATACTCCCTGCGCCAGCGCACGGCGGCGGGATGGCGGCGTCGCTACTCCAGCTGCTTCAAGTGCGAGTTGACTGTGTGGCCGAGGAAAAAATGGCCTTGAAAGCTGGCCGACGTTTCAGTGCCGATTAGGCAGGCGCATTGCTTTCTTAGTCTCTTCCCCGGAGCACCCAGAAAAACAAGAGCGCCTGCCACGCATATTTTTCCTTGCCACCACAAGTGGGTACTTTTGAGTTGTTCAGCCGTGTCACTCACAAAAATACCCATTTTTCTGGGCGTAGTGGCGAGAAGAATCCCGATTGCCAGCATTGTTTGTGTCGCCCGGTCGGCTGCCTTGTGGTTGGCTGGGGGGTTGGCTGCTCGTCTCGACGGCAAAGAGCATTGTTTTGGAATTCACCCCCCCCCTTTTCCGAAGAAAGCCAAAGCAATACTTAGCCCCTCCATCAGAACGACCGATTCCGGATCCGCCTTTGATGATAAAACACTGATTGCTGTTAGACACGATATGGCGTGTGCTGCAACCTGTTGGCACAGCAATTGACCCATTTCAAATGTTGATGCTAATGGCTGCAGCGTTTCAGTGCACGCGCCTCCAGTGGTGGGGCGCCGCGCAGAGCGCAGCCTGCGGATGCAGAGGGGCCAGGACCGCCAGGACCAACCGCGGCCTTCCCGTCGTGTCCAATCAACCACCGCACGCTTCGCTACCGCCTTAAAATGTGGGGACGGCTGAAAAATTAATGGATCCGCCATTTTGATTCTCCGGTTGACAATGAAAGCTGGCATCCACAAGCTCCCATCTCGTCAGCAGTTTGATCGGCTACGCTAGGCTGGTTACTTTATGCAAACTAGAACGGCACTCTTCTTCGCAATGCTGGGAATTTCTGTGGATGTTCGTTTCGAGCCGACCAAGTTTGGTGGTCACCTTCACGTATCTCTCAACTGGTTCCTCGCGATAGCAGCACCCACTGTATGGGTGATATTACGGCGCTCGCGTAGCACCCGCCGAACTGGCCCACATCATCCATCAATGGCCATGCCGGGCCATGCCATGGTCCGGTTCGCAGCCCTAACCTTGCCCGGCAGCTGTTGTCCCTGGACTTGCACAGACCTTCAAGGTCAGCCGGTCGAGCATTGCCCACGCCGCGCCACTGCATGGCTGCGAGCGCCATCTCGCGGCACTCGTACAGACCTCTGCGGCTCTTTCATCCGGCGACCCCCTTCTTGCCCCTCTTTCCCGCCCACGCAGGTTGAGTGCCTGTTAGGACGCATGACTCACGAACAGGAACATGACACGGATTCTAGAAGATGCATGATAGGCTCCACTGTCAGAATCGATCGAAACCAAGGCCTTCTGAGTTGCTGAAGTCCAGAAAAGTATGTGACCTTTGCGCGTATCGGGTCAGCATGTTGGCACGGCAGAGCATTTGGGCGATTTGGGCAATCGTTCAAATCGCGCTGTACGCCCATGAGATGGCTGGGTCGGCGGTCGAGAAACTAAAATGATCTTTCCTGTGTAGATGCAGTTGGTGGAGGTGCAAGTGAAGCAGGGCCTGCTCCGAGGGCAGCGGCTCTCCCCGCCCACCAAGAACCTCCCCGCGTTCGACGCCTTCCTGGGCGTCCCCTACGCCAAGCCGCCCGTCAAGGAGCTGCGCTTTCAGGTACGCAAAGCGCGCCGGCGACTGTGAACGGCCGATACGCTAGTGATGCACGGACACGGACCAACTTGGTGGTGCAGGCTCCCCAGCCGCCAGAGCCATGGGAAGGCGCGCGGCCCGCCCTGGACCACGGCGCCGACTCCCTGCAGAACGACTTCATGCTGCGCAAGCAGGCCGGCAGCGAGGACTGCCTCTACCTCAACGTGTACTCCCCCCAGGTGAGTGCCACAGCCTTCAAACACGCCGCGCCGTGCTGCCCTTCGTCATGGCCTTGTCGTTGTTTCCTTGTCACAGGTGCCGTCCTCGGTGCGCACCCCCGTGGAGGGCGCGCCCTGGCCCGTCATGGTGTGGTTCTACCCGGGCGGCTTCACCAACGGCACGTCGCACATGAGGCAGTACGCCCCGGAGTGGCTGGTGGCCAAGGGCGTGGTGCTGGTCACCGTCACCTACCGCCTCGGCGCGCTCGGTCAGTGCACCCACACTACGAACCTACGCCATGGATCCCGACGGTGTTCGAGGTATGGACTGGGATCCATGGCAAGGTTTCTTTTCAGATAATGAACAAAACAAAATATCCCGTATGATCCTTTTGCCTTGTGTAACCGCAGGCTTCCTGTCGCTGCGCTCCTCTAAGTGCCCCGGCAACGCCGGCCTCAAGGACGCGGTGGCGTCCCTGCAGTGGGTCCGCGACAACATCGGCGTGTTCGGCGGCGACCCTAACCGCGTGACGGTGTTCGGCTGCTCCGCGGGCGGCGCCGTCACCGAGCTCCTGCAGCTGGCGCCCGCCGCCAAGGGCCTGTTCCAGCGCGCCATCATGCAGAGCGCGTCCTCGCTCAACCAGTGGTGCCTCCTGGAGGCGGCCGAGGCGCGGCGCCGGGCCTTCCGCCTGGGCGAGGCGCTGGGCTGCAGCACGCAGGACGAGGACGAGCTGCTGGCCTTCCTGCAGAAAGCGCCCGCCGTCGACATCCTGGCCAAGTCCGACTCGGTCATCGACATTGAAAAGGTGGGCGGAAAATTGGACTGTTTCGGAACTGGCCCGAAACTTTAGCACTGTAACTTTGATGACTTTGTCGATGTGTCGTCCAGGACGGGTCCAGGGGGCTCATGTTCCCCTTCCTCCCCGTGTCCGAGGCCGGCTTGGACGTCGCCGACGCCTTCCTGGTGGACAAGCCCAGGACGCTGCTCAACGAGCGGCGGTACTTCCCGGTGCCCTCCATTGTCGGCCTCGCGGACATGGAAGGCATCCTCACGCTGGATGACTCCTTCGCCGGGTGATCTAGATTTATTTCATCGTTTAAAATGTTATTTATTTTAATGATGGAACGAAAGTGTTCCCATATGCTTTTACAAGCCAACACTAACCCAAATTTGTTGATGTAACCCTGATGCGACCACGTTCGGTCTGCAGCAAAGCCATAGCCAGCACCACCTCGCTGGAGGTGGCGGACGCGGACCTGGAGCGTGTCATCCCCGCCGAGCTGGGCCTGGAGAAGGGCTCCCCGGAGAGCGTGGCGCTGGCCGACGGCATCCGCCAGCTGTACTTCGACGGCGGCAAAGTCACGCGCAACGGCTACTGGAACGTATGTATTTTGTATTGCATTCGGACGACAACACAGGCACGGTTTCCAAATTCAGTTAATTTTGCAGAGTACTTTCACACGCCGTTCCCTATTGAACCCTCCAATTATCGTATTGTTTCATAATCCCAGTCACTTTAAGGCTACTTCATGGATGTTTACACTATGCAAAGTGAAGCACCTCCTTAACGCCGTGGTGCCGCATGTGCTTCCAGCTGTACTCCGACTTGCTCTTCGCCACCGGCGTCGTGCAGGCCGCTCGCATCCACGCCACCCAGGTGCCCGTCTACTTCTACCTGTTCTGCGTCATGGGCAGGAACAACGTGCTCTCCACCTTCCTGAAGGCCGAGAACCCCACAGGTACGTTCGGCACGGTGCTCCGCGGGGAGTCCTCCTCGAGGGTCCGGCCTATTTCAGTCATTTTGAAAGCGTGGGTTTTGCAGGGGCGTGCCACGGCGACGAACTCGGCTACCTGTTCGGACGACGGCCACCCTTCCCCCCGGAGCCCGAGTGGGAGCCGCACAGCCTGGAGCTCGCCACCAAGACGAGGCTCACCACCCTGTGGGCCAACTTCGCGCGGACTGGGTGAGCAGCGGACGCTTTTTGAAGATTAAGTTTTTGCTGTTTGTTTGCCGTTTGCGAAGCGATGGCCGTTCCCCTCGCCCGTGCTATACTCCCGCTAAAGTCCCCGCGATGCCCCCCAGGGTGCCGACGCCGGCCGCGGACCCCGACGTGGACAACGTGGAGTGGAAGCCGCTGGCCGGCAACCCGGACACGACGGCGCCCCTGGCGCCCTACCTGGACATCGGGGCCACGCTGTCGGTGCCACGCGCGCCCCTCTGGGAGGAGAGGGTCGCCTTCTGGGACCGGGTGTACGCCAAGCACGGCCCGAAGTAGGCGCTTCGGGCAGCACGGGGGGGTATGCACTCGCGTAGTACCTTGTACACACACGCCCCGCATTACGTCGTGAACGAATTGTAGCACCTATACACCGTAATACACGCGTGATACCACCGCAACTGAGCGTCCGATCCCTAAGTGTGTGCCCCCTCGGAGCAGCAGCCGAGGTTGCGAGTGCGGTCGTGGCCGGGAAGCAACGTTCACTACTGCCAAAGAGGGATAACTCCCGTCGGTGCTATGTCAAGATTTATTGTTGTTATACTTTTATACTTGTTGGCAATTTTGTGTTAGGAAAAGTAACGATTGTATAATATAATTTTAATCACAAAACGGTGGTGTATTAATTCTTTTACGTCAGACCTTCCACCCGATCGGAGTCATAGTGATGCTGCGTGACGGATAAGTCGCCTAAGCAGCAGGCGCCGACTAGCCAGACCAGCCGCTCCGGGGGAGTAGGCCACCCATCCGACAGCGCGTCGGCCATTACAATTACCATTACGGGCTGGACCGCAACTGATCGTATGCCATTTCGGTCGGCGGCCCTCGCCTTGGCCAGGCACTGTTCGCGGTGGCGACGGCGCGCCGCCTGGCCGGACAAAGACTGCATTAATTAACTGACGCTCTTGGTGCAACCACACGCTAATAGACCGTTAATAAACTGGACCGTGCATCGCTGGCCTCGACCTCAAACGACACGGATCACGCCAGAGGAAAATAATGACACAAAGATTCGAAAAAAATCAAGACTAGTGTTTGACGACTTTCCAGAATCACTAGTTCAGCGAAATTCGCTTCTAGTCCATCATGAGAAAAGAGTGGGTAAACCAAAATCACCATATTTTCCAGAGAATGTCTTGCCTTCGTGCTATCAGGGAACAAGAACAAAGTTGCTAGTGTTTTGTTCTTTTTATTTTTGCGTCATTTCAATAAATTAGTGGTAGTAGGCGGGGGCAGCGGCGTAGGCGGGGGCAGCAGCGTAGGCCAGAGGGGAGGCGGCGTAGGCGGGGGCGGCGGCGTAGGCCACGGGGGCGGCCTTGACGATGGGGGCGGGGGCGGCGTACGCCAGAGGAGCGTGGGCCACGGGGGCGGCGGCGTAGGCCACGGGGGCGACGGCCACGGCGGAGCGGGAGATCTTGTAGGTGTTCTGGTAGGAGGTGGCGGCGGGCACCACGGTCTTGACGATGGGGGCGGGGGCGGCGTACGCCACGGGGGCGGCAGCGTAGGCCAGGGGCGCGTGGGCCACGGGGGCGGCGGCGTAGGCCACGGGGGCGGCCACGGGGGCGCCGATGAAGCCAGCCGAGGCGGCGGCGATGCAGAGGGCGAGGACGGCCTGCAAAACACAACCACAGTCAGCACGGCGGCAAGGCGGACAAGCGCAAGGGAAGCAGCAGTCAGACACTCACGAGCTTGAACATGGTGATGCTGGTGTACTTGCTGGAGGCAGAGTGCCTTCCCGGTGGGCTGCTCCGCGTTATATAGGCCCCCTGCCATCCCTGCCCCCGCCAGGACGGCCGCCAGGACGGCCAGCCCCTCCACGACGTGGCCCAGACCGCCGTTCGCAGCTCCGGGCAGCCCCACCTCCGGCGAAGGCCTTCGGCTGCCTTTTCGGCGATTCGCTCAGGAAATGTGCAGCTTTGCAAAGTGAATAAACCGATCCATCGGATAAGTGGATAACTTACTAGTCACGCCTAGGCGATTGAGAGATTGTTCACAATTTCGAAGTTTAGTTCTATTAGTGCAGTCCGAGCAGCGCACCTCATTCGAGCTCATTATTCTCAATCCATAAAAAGGTTTGGATACGTCGATGTTTTGTAATCAGTCGAACAAGTGGTGCTTCGATTTTTGCACCAGGAACGCCTGACGATGCTGGGGTAGGCCAGCCCGCAGAGCACCCCTGCATGCATACGTTGATGTTGCCTACCCAACAGGCGCTAGGAGCTCCGATCCCTATTTTAGACTCGTTCACGTTCTCAGTAACACTTATTCCAACTAGAGGGTGTTGCGTGCGCCACTCCGTTCGCCTCACTTCCCACATCGGGCGCAACACTAATACTGTGAAACACCCTGCGACTGCTGGTTGAGACCGAGAAGAGTCTCCTTCCCTGCGTCAAAAATCCTTCCCTCGGTCCAAAATCCATGTTCTATGCACAGGACGATTGTACGACGAACATCCCGTCTTGAGAGTGTAAATCACTGCTTCGGACAGAGACAGGACTGTAGCTAAGCCTTACGTTATTGCCATGCGATTATCCTTGTGGTAATCCCAAAATCGATTAAAACTTATCTGCCGCTTGCAACTTGTGTGCGTTGGAGGCCTGCAGGCTCATGACCATCGAGTACAGGTTTGTGTCGGAGAAAGAGCGGCCTCGAGGCGAGCGGAAGAGGGCCGGGGCACGCCGGGGCACGCCGGGGCACGCCCAAAAACAAGGCGGATCGGAGGCGGCGTCTGGCAAGGTTTTATTCCGCGAATCTTCGCGGCCAATCATTGGACTGACTTGGCGGTCTGGTCCGTTGTTCAACTTCCGGCACTGCAGGTTGGCGCCCGGCGTCGTGAGGTTCAGCGGCTGCACTGGTAAAACTAAAGCGTAACTCTTTGCTTCAGTCAAGCATAAAGGTACGCTTGAAGACGTTACACTTGAAATGAAGCATACTCTGGAAATTCCCCCATGCATTTAGATAGGGGGGAATCTTGGCGGATGAGACTGTTACGCTTGATTTCAAGCGTAACCTGATTACGCTTGAAAACAGAGGGTAATACTACGCTTTAGTTTTACCAGTGTGGTCGCGGCCTGAGGACCCGGCCTAACGGCTGAAAGGCACTGAGCTCTCCCTCCAGCTCGGCTAAAACAAAACGTTAGGTTTTCTACAGAAAATGGAGAAATTACCGGATAAGAGGGAAATCATTGTGAACTGCAAGGAATTAATAAGTGCAGCCGTTTTCAAAATAAAAATTACGTTTAACTACAATGTAAGTGTGATTTTACGATGTTTCTACGGAGCCTAGTTGAGAAGCAAATTATTTTCATTTCAAATTGTTCTTGCGTGCTGGAGACGAGACATCTTGGAACAGATGGACAGGTGTGAGTGTAGCGCGCGCGCGTTCAAAACCAAAAAGAAAAATTTCACATGCCATTGCGATTGTGTTGAGTACAGAGTCACCACGGGCCTGACTTCTTTTGCCAAATTTAGTTTGTGTTGTGTTCACCCTGGAAAGCAATGTCTTAAAAAAAAGAAAAACTCTCTTGGAATAAAGTAGAGTTACTTGTGACAAGATAATGCCAATGTTTTCTTGTTCCAGGACAATTAATTTTCTTATTTCAAAAGTCTATTTTTTCTTGGTGAACCTTCTTAAATCATCAGACCCGTGAAACTGCCACTTCGATATACAACTTTTTACGATGGCGAGACAGTAGGCAGACAATCTTCTAACCAATGTCTCGAAACCAATGCGGCATTTTGAATAGGAAGGGTACAGAACACAAAAACAATAGTGATAAGTGTTTTGTTCTTTTTATTTTTGCGTCATTTCAATAAATTAGTGGTAGTAGGCGGGGGCAGCGGCGTAGGCGGGGGCAGCAGCGTAGGCCAGAGGGGAGGCGGCGTAGGCGGGGGCGGCGGCGTAGGCCACGGGGGCGGCCTTGACGATGGGGGCGGGGGCGGCGTACGCCAGAGGAGCGTGGGCCACGGGGGCGGCGGCGTAGGCCACGGGGGCGACGGCCACGGCGGAGCGGGAGATCTTGTAGGTGTTCTGGTAGGAGGTGGCGGCGGGCACCACGGTCTTGACGATGGGGGCGGGGGCGGCGTACGCCACGGGGGCGGCAGCGTAGGCCAGGGGCGCGTGGGCCACGGGGGCGGCGGCGTAGGCCACGGGGGCGGCCACGGGGGCGCCGATGAAGCCAGCCGAGGCGGCGGCGATGCAGAGGGCGAGGACGGCCTGCAAAACACAACCACAGTCAGCACGGCGGCAAGGCGGACAAGCGCAAGGGAAGCAGCAGTCAGACACTCACGAGCTTGAACATGGTGATGCTGGTGTACTTGCTGGAGGCAGAGTGCCCTCCCGGTGGGCTGCTCCGCGTTATATACTCCTGAGGCTCCTGCCCGCCCCGCCATGCCCCGCCCCGCCCCGCCCCACCACGCCTCTCTCCCGCCACGCCGAGCCACGCCCCTCGGAGAAGACCTTCGCCAGGCTTTGGGTGTTCCTCTCGCACCCGACAAAGTTGCGAGCCGAACCCGGAACGGAAACAATGCTCGTCTTTTTTCATCGATAAATAATAGCGCGGATGCTGTCCCAACTGCGTCGCTGGACTACTAATCCCGCCTCGGTGGCACCTCTTCCTGTCCTCGTAGTGTATGATGGCCTTTATTTCGCATTAACCGTTCACGTTAATTTTTCATCCGTGCTCCCGTGCGCTTGATAGCAGATTTTGTTGTTGCTGACATGAATGTCATGCCAAACTGCAACTAAACACATAAATTTGTGTGTACATGATCGCACGTTCAAGGGTCTCACTTAAACGCATGAGTAAACAAGACTGTGACGTCCTCGTGCTTTTCACGTAGGATATATGATTCTTTGACCTTATGACACTTTGCAACTCGTCCAAAAAATTAAATTTGACGCGAAGATGCGAGCCCCCAATGCTCGCACGGTCAGTGCCCCGTTCTGTCGAACAAGGTGAACAATAGCGCTGCACACTGTGCCTCAGGATGAAGGCCACGCACTCCGTCGGGGTGATCGTCCGCTGGAGCGAGGCGGCGCGGCGGCGCGGCCTTGGCGGTGGCCTTGGCCTTCTCCCCCACGCCGTTCTGAAGGACTGCCGCGGGCGCCTTGACGGGCGAGACCTTGGAGGCTCGGTGCAGCTCGGCGGCGTGGAGGCCGGCGCGGCGGCGCCTTCTCGAAGCTGGCCGGGCCGGCGGTGCAGCGTGCGCGGTGCGCGGCGTGCCGCGAGGCCGCTGATCCCTGCCTGATCGGCTGCGCCTAGGCTGCGCCCGCACTTGCACTGTCAGCACCGTCATACAGTGACAAAAGGAGTCCGTTTCGAAAGCGGGGCGTGCGCGTTCTGGACATGCTCTTGATTGCAGCACTGCACGTACACAAAAAAAAAAAATTCATTGCTGGCGGTGAAATTTTGGTTCAAATCTTGTCCTGGAAAGTTTTGAAGATGCGGCCGGGGGACTGGCTTCCAGCCGCCTTCAGCGGACTTTGACAGCACCCACATTATCAGTATTTCGGATGAGTTTGGCAGCTCGAATTATGAATGAGTCAAAACAATCTGAGTCCTCGCTCAATCTCCACAGTGTAATTCGGAATCCAGAAAATCACTCGGGAAAGAACGGCAACGGCGTCGGAGACGTTCCGCGCGCGACAGACTGAGGCTTGTATCGTGAAGCTGTTACCTTCTGGCAACTCCTGTAGCTCCTTCAGGTTCAGTGTACTCCAGCAAATGAAGGAATAGTTAAGATAGGTGCAGGTGTTTAAACACAAATCTCAATTTTGTTCTTTTTATTTTTGCGTCATTTCAATAAATTAGTGGTAGTAGGCGGGGGCAGCGGCGTAGGCGGGGGCAGCGGCGTAGGCCAGAGGGGAGGCGGCGTAGGCGGGGGCGGCGGCGTAGGCCACGGGGGCGGCCTTGACGATGGGGGCGGGGGCGGCGTACGCCAGAGGAGCGTGGGCCACGGGGGCGGCGGCGTAGGCCACGGGGGCGACGGCCACGGCGGAGCGGGAGATCTTGTAGGTGTTCTGGTAGGAGGTGGCGGCGGGCACCACGGTCTTGACGATGGGGGCGGGGGCGGCGTACGCCACGGGGGCGGCAGCGTAGGCCAGGGGCGCGTGGGCCACGGGGGCGGCGGCGTAGGCCACGGGGGCGGCCACGGGGGCGCCGATGAAGCCAGCCGAGGCGGCGGCGATGCAGAGGGCGAGGACGGCCTGCAAAACACAACCACAGTCAGCACGGCGGCAAGGCGGACAAGCGCAAGGGAAGCCGCGCTGCAGTCAAGGCGGGGCCCGCGTCCAAGCCTCATCGCTAGCCAGGCGAGGCGCCGAGGACTTACAAGCTTGAACATGGTGGCTGTTGGGGTTATTCTCGCTGGATGCAGAATGTTCGCCCTCCCGAACGAGTCGCGTTTTATACCGCTCCAGGACCTACCACGCCTCGCACCACGCCCATCCCATCCCCGCCCCGCCCCGCGCCGCGCCGCCGGACAGACAAAGGTGGGTGGGGGTGGGGATGGCCAGGGCATCGGCCGTGGACACTTCCCAGCCTTCTTGACTCGATCGAGGGTCGGCGCGCCGATCCATCCGGCACGAGGCCACGGCAATACGCCGCGCTGCGCCGCGCTGCGGGGCCCACTCCCTCCAGTGTAGCGCGCAATGCACGCCGCCACGCCGTTGGACTGGACCGGAGTTCCGCGTGAGAACTGGCGGGCGGGTCGCCCTCGCCGATTTAACTAGTCAACTCGCGGTTTGCGGTCCCAGCGCGCCCAGCACCGAGACCGAGGGAAGGTGTCGCGATCGGCGAGCGTGCCCCCCTTCGTAAATAGAGATTCGCTTGCGTATGTACACAGGCCTGTGTACACGAAGGGGCCGCTCCCTTTGCGGCGGCGCCGGAATCAATGTGTGTTGGGTCAACCGCGACTCGTGTTGTGGGTGGTCGCGGCCGCGCCGCCCCGGCCCGCTGTGGGTGGAGGCTCCGATCGGGGCGAGGAGGACAAGCAACGACAAGCAACGCCACCCCCAACAGAGATCGGGCGCCACCACAAACAACGAAACGCGAAATGGCCGTCGCCGCGAGGCTTTGAAATGCAGCTGCGTGTGTACAGTCCTTTTCGGCTGTGGCCCTCCCACGCAACGTTTGCCCCTGTGCGGGTGTGTGCGTGTGTGCGTGTCCGTATGTTGGTAGGGAAAACAAGCCGTGCCCCTTTGCTCACGGGCGTGCTGATCACGCGCGGATCAAACAGCTGTGCGAACGGTGGGGGACGGCCTCAGTGCCAAAGACGCAACGCAACGCCAGGAGGGCCGGGGGAAGGGGGAGGGGGATCACGACGCTGCCGAAACAGAGGCCCCGCGGAAGAGCACGCGCGCGCGCGCCACACACACACACACACACACACACACACACACACACACACACACGTGCGCGCGGTGGGGGGCGTGGTGCGCCGCCTCTCCACGATTAAGAAGCAGTGACCTCCGCCGTGCCAACGAGCCCGCGGACGATCTAACTAATCTGGATGGATCTGAACACGAAGCACTGCGGGGACGCTCTGTCTGTCTGTCTGTCTGTCTGTCTGTCTGTCTGTCTGTCTGTCTGTCTGTCTGTCTGTCTGCCTGTCTGCCTGTCTGCCTGTCTGTCTGTCCGGTCTGTCTGTCTGTCCGGTCTGTCTGTCTGTCTGTCTGTCTGTCTGTCTGTCTGTCTGTCTGTCTGTCTGTCTGTCTGTCTGTCTGTCTGTCTGTCTGTCTGTCTGTCTGTCTGTGCGCGGGCCCTCCGCACAACAACAACAGCGCGGCCGGCACGTCGCTCGGCGCGTCCTTCCACGCCGCCCGTTCTCGTTCCGAGTGGTCCGAGAAGCGCCCTAATAATGCAAGGCGCAGCGCGCAGCCTGCGAGACAGCCTGCGGCGTCTGGCCGGACGGGCAGCACCGGGCAGCACCGGGCAGCACCGGGCAGCACCGGGCAGCACCGGGCAGCACCGGGCAGCACCGGGCAGCTGCAGCGGCGGACCGGAGAGCCTTCAGGCCTTCAGGCTTGCCTTCAGTCGCGTCGAGGCGAGGCCCAGCATGGCCCAGCGACCCAGCGGCCCAGCGGCCCAGCGGCCCAGCGGCCCAGCGGTCGAGCAAGTCATTTGCGTGAGGCTTTTAAGGGGCATCGTCTCGCCTTTTAATGCTCGAAGGACGTGTGCGCTCAACTTTCATAACACAAATGGAACACACAGTAGCGGAAACAGTGATTGTGTGACTGAAAAGATCAAGGAGGATGCTATTTTATCGAGACTGGCTGCTTCTACCGGTGGTGTTGTGCGGGAATTGCGTGCATATCTTTCTCTTGTTGAGGTAAATGTAATCTCCTCCCAGATGGAGTGGAGTGCGTTTGCTTTGCCCGTGGGTAAGTTGTGCGAAAACGGATTGTGTCGGGGGAATGTCTGCGCGGTCCAGACGGCGCGCAGACGCGGCGCGGCGAGGCGGCGGCGAGGCGGCGGGGCCAAGCCAAGGCTGCGTCCAAAGGAGAGGCGCTGCCCAGCGAGGCCCAGCGAGGCCCAGCGCCGCCCGGCTTGCTTGGCCTGCTCGGCTGGAGGGCGCCGCCGTTTCCCGGAAACCGGAACGGCCACAGGGAACACACACACTTGAGTGCGCAGACGTACGAAAAATCAGGTACATTTATTCAGTATCAGTAGGGTCTCTGTTGCCATAACAAGCAGTACAGGTCACCACTCCAGCGTCTCTCGCTGGGCCGTGTAGCGGGGGCTGTTCTCCGAGTAGTACTGCGAGTACCAGCGCCGGAAGCGCGCGATGTAGCGGTCCTCCTTGATGAGGATCGGCTTGTCCAGGTACTGCTTGTGGTTCCACACGCAGATGTCTCTCTCGAACTGGTGACAGCAAGCCCTCGGTTAATGGGAAAAAATACCTACACTCATTGGGCCCAGAACTGGCGCCGTGGCCCCATGGGGGGCTCTCGCCCATTTTTGGGGCCTTGGCCCCCTGGGGGATAAATCGTACAGCGGGCCCTCTCCTGGGGGATGCCCGCCCGCAGAGGGCCCGATTCGGGGAGCACCTAGTCCCGCCGAGACGATGGGGCCCAGGCCGTTTCCCGAATGTAGTCCACCCCAGGGCCGGCCCGATCTGTGCGCACGGGGTTAGGTAAAGTAGGTGGGAAAGGGCCCAGTTGGGGGTTAGGTTAAGGTTGGTGTTAGGTGGGGGGGGTTAAAGGTTAGGGGGTTAAAGGGGGTAGGGTTGAAGTTAGGTTGGGTTAGGATGGGTTGGGTTGGGTTAGGTTAGGTTAGGTTAGGTTCGGTTTGGTTCGGTTCGGTTAGGTTAAGCTGGGTTGGTCCAGCTTCAGTCACGTTATCAGACGCCACACTGTGACCATTATTGCAAACGGCAGCGCACCTGGTGGGCGCGGACCTCCATGTGCAGCACGTTGAACTTGTTGAAGAGGGCCAGCTTGTGGTTGAGCCGCATGCGCGCGACGTGGCGCTGCTCCGGGTCGGCCTGCCACTCGACGTCCCAGACGTGGTGCGAGAGCCAGGACAGCACCAGCCCGGGGCGTGGATGGCGGCCAGGTGGGGCGGGTCGGCCGCATTCTCCGGGATGTCCTGCATCGGGCAAAAGGCTCGGGCTTAGCAGTTGAACTTGAACTTGGGGGGCTCAGGGGTGGACAATGAAAGCCGCGTAGCTCGGCGCGCGTGCGACGCACCGCCGCACCTGGATGTGGCTGACGATGTTGAACTCGTTGCGGCCCACGTACGTCCACGACCCGTCCACCACGACGCTGATCGGCTGCGGCCACCAGCTGGGCGGCTCGCCCTCGGCGTGGTGCCAGATGAACACGGACGCGTTGGTCTCCACGCACTGCCAGCTCCGCACCCGCGCGAAGTCCGGCACTTTGTCGGCGTAGGCGATGCTGGTGCACTGGCCGTCCTGGCCGTCGAAGCGCCACTCGTGGAAGGGGCACTCCAAGCAGTCGCCCAGCACGCGGCCGCCGACGGCCATGTTGGCGCCGTTGTGCGGGCAGTAGGCGTCCAGGACGTGCGCCTCGCCGGACTGGCCGCGGAACACGGCCAGGTTCTGCCCCAGCGCGTTCACCAGCTTCACCTGCACAAGACGGCCGGCAGGGTGTCAGCGGATGCTGGGGTCAGGCAGGCTGCAGCCGCTCGATCCAAGTGGTCCAAGGAGATAGCCTCACCTCCCCGCGCTTCAGGCGGCACGACTCGATGACGGCGAACCAGCCGTTGGGGAACACGGGCAGCAGGTTGCCCAGCTTGCGCCGCTGTTGCGCGGTCCGCACCACCGCGGCGCGCGTCCGCCCGTCCAGGTTGGCGAAGCCGAAGCCCACGCCGGCGATGTCCTGCACAGCAACGTGTACACCACCGAGGACAAGAACAAGAGACTCCCGTAGGAGACGCGCTTACCCGAGTCCAGTCCATGGGCAGGACGAGGTAGTAGTAGACGAGGCCGAGCAGCACGGCGACGGCGGCGGTGGCGGCCCAGCAGGACGCGGGCAGCGCCACGGCCACGCCCACCAAGCCGAGGGCCTCCATGGCGTCGAGTTCAGGGTCGAGCTGCGCAGGGGCGTCCAGGGCAGGGCATGACCTCGGCGGATCCTCTTTCGGGGTGTAGGGCCAACCCGTCTAGGACAGACTGAGACGGTCTGGCCCGGACTAGTCCGGCTGGCTGCGGCGGGCTGGTGGGTGTCCTGCACGCAGCGCTCTCGAGAGGGCCGACAGTGTCTGTCACTCACGGGCCGCCTCCACTCAATATGTACACCAGCGCACGCCGCGCAATCGCCCATTGGAAACAAGCAGCCGAAAGTTGGACAGGCCCACTTCAGTTGCGCCCCACGACTGCACCGACTGCACCAGACAGTGCTGTTCCGGCCCTAATACTACCATCAAATGTAATTTGCAAAATAGTATACAGTACTCTACTCGTACATATCGCTATTCAGCTTTATTTCCAGTCGTCATTTCCAGCACACTAACGACTGTCAAAATTTAGTCCTATTTGCACGTCGACTGTTTTCTTTCCTCGCCGGAATAAACAATTGTTGGCCTTCCCCGAAGTGTGGTGGTGAGACGGGGCAGGCAGGAGCGAAGTCTGCAGACTGGGGTCTCGCCACCCCTATCTCCGCGGCGGGGACTCTCCGCACACCTGAGCTTCCGAGACGCGTGACTGGCACAGGTGCGCGCTTATCGCGGAGACGGGAAATTACCTGGGGAAGTCAAGTGGCTAGATGTCCGCGGTCTGGCTAGGCCGCCGGGGAATGGAAACTGGGTGTCGATGTGCAGCTCTAAGGCTCTGAACTATTTGGCCTATAATATAAAATTCAAATCTGGACACATTTTTAGATTGGACCTGAACAAAGCACTCTTTTCAACACGACACAAACTGGCAAGCACTTTTCTCAATATCCCTCGCTTGATTAAATGAACCCTGCCTCTAAATCGCGATTTTCTACGAAAGTTTCTTAATTATTTCAACAACACCTCAGCGTGGAACAAATCTTGCAGGTTGCGTGGCGTGAGGCCAAGGACCCACGAAGGACCTGGCGGGCCAGCCCATCAACGACCCAAGGGCTCGCCCGACACGCAAAACACCTTGCACCACCACGCGGTTGCCTTAGTAGACTTTGTCGATTCGACTGGCTGGACTGCGCAGTGTCGTGCTCTGTGGTTGTGCTCAGACAACTTTAAGGATAAATAACATATCCAAAACGTAGAGCACACTTTATTTTATTTTCAGAAAACTTTCGCAGTTTCAGGTCTTATAAACAGAAAAAGAAAATCGACGTTACAACGAAAAATGAAAGAATAAATTATGTAATAAATAAATAAATATAGTATTTTACACATGACCCTAAATCTACATCGTCCTTCTTCTTACAATACTTTGTACAATAACATATCTTTTACGGTTGCTAACATGATAGGCTACACATGGCCTCATGCCGATCCAGGCCCGTTAATAGTTACCGAATTCATGAGCGGAATGTCGGGGAGTGGATGGAAAAGAATCCGACAACTTTTATAGGCAACCGTCGACGCGTGGCGTGGGTAACAACTTCGTTAATTTGCTTTCGGCCGATACGGAGAATGCGATATCAAGTAAGAGCTTGTCCAGGTCGATTTCAATATCGGATTATCGTATCAGCCTCTGCCGTAACGACACCACTTGCGGCCGGACAAAACTTAGAGAGACAGACGCCGATTTGACTTTGGTATCAGAAAGTGAGTGGTGTCAACCATGACTCACGATGTTTCACTCGCACCGAGTCGTTCTTCTTGGTTATCTGCAGGTGCGAGAAGGCGGGGCGGGGCGCCTCTTGAGTCCAAAACGTGACGACGGTGGGTCCCGTTGGGCGCGGGGTGTCAACGAACAGCCGACCGGACGCACGGACGCCGGCCTGCAGAACAATAAATCAGCCCCGCTGGGGGTCGAAGCCGATGACGTCAGTGCACCGTGGAGCGGCCCGTGTAGCCGCTCGCCTCGGAGCCGGAGGTCGACGCCGAGCTGTGGTGGTGGTGGTGGAAGCGCCGGCTGTGCTCCCGGACCAGGACGTCGAGGGACTTGGCGTGCAGCTGGGTGCCGAGCGCGGCGTGCAGGCGGGCGGCCAGGTAGCACATGAGGCAGGCGGCGCACAGCAGCAGACAGCCCAGCACGGCCGCCACCAGGAGGAACGTGCCGCACGAGGACTCCAGCACCGCGCTGGCACCGCGCCCGTACATCTCTGCGGACAAGCGCCCAAAACCGTCAACAAAAGACGAACCGAAATTTCGTGATCACGGTGATCCATAAGAGCGGTTTCTATTCGGGACAGATTGTAAAAAGCGACTGATTCTCCGAAAGTAGGAACTTTTGCTGACTTTGGGCGGCCACTGCGTCCAATAAAGCTGTGTCAGATGACTCCCGCGACGTCTTTGTACTTCAGACCCTAATCTTTCATTCCCCACTCTGGGAACGCTTGGGCCACTGCAAGTTTGTTGGCATTAGGCACTCAAAGTTGGTCAAAAAGTCCCTTGTTTCCAACTTCCCAATCGTTTTTGCACATCTCCTTTAAGGGGGCAGTAGCGTCTTTTGCACGTGTTTTGACGATTTTCGAACCTCCTGTTTAGACGTTAATATAAAGATAAGTATGAATGCCAGAGGCAAACGGCAGGCACCATTTGAAAGATAAAAGTTTTTACAACATTTTCAAAAAAAAATATTTTGTTTTGGCATCGAATGAGGATGTTTTGTGTTCTATGCAAAAATGGTCTGCAAAATTACATGGTGTCACTGCGCGCACGATTGCAGCCAAAGTTTTTAACTTTTTACCAATCGGTAAAATGCATCTGAAAAAGCATGAAATTGCCCATAAAATGACCCTTGGGTTTTAATATTGGGCCAGAAAAAATGTGGTTCGTTTCCATCTTAAGTTGAAGATGAGCGTTTCAATAGTTTTTCTTGCCCAATATTGAAACCCAAGGGTCATTTTATGGGCAATTTCATGCTTTTTCAGATGCATTTTACCGATTGGTAAAAAGTTAAAAACTTTGGCTGCAATCGTGCGCGTAGTGACACCATGTAATTTTGCAGACCATTTTTGCATAGAACACAAAACATCCTCATTCGATGCCAAAACAAAATATTTTTTTTTGAAAATGTTGTAAAAACTTTTATCTTTCAAATGGTGCCTGCCGTTTGTCTCTGGCATTCATACTTATCTTTATATTAACGTCTAAACAGGAGGTTCGAAAATCGTCAAAACACGTGCAAATGACGCTACTGCCCCCTTAACTCCCCACATCCGCCCCCCACTGCGGACGGCGTTGCGACCGCCGTTTCGGCACATCGGTGCAACGCTTTTGGCGCGCTGCTCCGCGGCGCCTCCACGGTGGCTCGCTGCCACAAGCCCACCCGGCCGAGCCCCCCGGGCCAGGCTGCCAGGCATTGCAATGCGTCTCGGGCGTCACCTACCTCCGGGCATCAGCACACTGTACTCGATGTTCTCGTCGAACTTGGCGAACTGCTGCAGCACACTGTTGGGCCCGGTGCCGTTGTGGTGGAACCGCTGCGTGAGGGGCTGCGCCTGGGGCGGCGGGGGCGTGGCGGTCATGTCGGCGGCCACCCCCACGCCCCGCCCCCGCGCTTGCCGGTACGTGCCCGGAGGGGCTGCGGCTGACGGGGGTCCGAGGCGGCCGCCGCGGTGGCCCAGCATCACGGTGGAGCCGTTGAGCGCGTTGAAGCCCACGTCGTCCACCTGCCGCCGCCGCCGCCCGTGTCCCGCCGGCTCGAACAGGTCCAGGCAGTAGTCCTGTGGGGCAGAGACAGACGGCGGCCGTCAGCGACGAGAACCGGCGTGCCAGCCAGCGCCGGCCGCGTAGGCCACCCAACTGGCGGCCGCGCGCTGCGAGAGTGGGGCGCCGGGCGGCCCTGGCCGAGCCGCACCACTGCGCACCACGCACACGCAGACCACGTACCGGTTGGCAGTCGGCCGCGTCCATGCACGCCTTGATCTGCGAGTGGATCCACAGCGTGCTGCGCTCCCGCATGGTGCTCAGGAGGAAGGCCTCGAAGTCCAGGAAGACCTCGTTGTGCCGGTCGCGGTACCGCGCCGGCTGGTGGGGAATGATGGACGCGAAGTCCCGGTTGCGGCACCTGCAACGAGCAACGTCCACGCTGCTGTGACAACTCTAGGCTCATTTCGAAGAGCGTTCCGTCGCTCTGTCTCCGTCGCACACCTCCGGGACGCCCCGTGCGTGCGAGAGAGAGCGAGCGACGAAGCCACTTTGAGGAATCGGCCCGGAGGACAAAGCACCATTGGCCCATCGGGCGTGCCTACCCGTCCGTGACCAGGGCCACGCTGCCCAGCATGTGCGCGTCGTCCGGGTCGGGGGACACCGTCACCTCCATGAGCTTGAGGAACTTCCAGGCTGCAACACGAACCATTGCACATTCAGCGTCACCGACATTGGGGGCAGGGGCTCCAGCCCGCTGCACTGCAAACTGCGCCAGCTTACCCGAGTCGGGGTTGATGCGCGCGCGGAGCTGCAGCTTGGTGCCGATGGGCACGGCCTGGTCCACCGGCAGCTCGCCGGGCAGAGCCAGCTGCCCCTGCGCGCCAACCCTGGTGGGGGCCTCCTTGTACAGCGCCACCTCGTACTCCAGGCGGCCCGGCGTCTCCTCCACCACGCCGGACACGCGCGCGCCGTGCGGGCTGCAACGGAAACACGGCCATCATCGAGGCATTCATCAATGGGGCTGAGTCGCCTCCTGAACCTCTGCAAGAAATACCTCAAATCCGAGAAGCCGAGAATGTAACTCGTCAAAACAACCACCTGGTACAAACAACGGAGTCATATACGCCACTCTCTTTTAAATTTTGTTTAAAATAAAACAAAATAATTGAACCCTACGACCCTCTCCCCCCCGCAATGGGGGTTCGAGCCGCCTGCTTAACTTCGGTGTTCGGATGGGAACCGGTGTGTCCAGGCTTTAAACTGCTACCGCATAGTTCAGCTTCTGTCGGACCGCTATTGCCTTCTTACACATGAAGGACCGCCTTATGAGGGCAGCCGGCGATCGTAGGGTGACAGAGATAGAGAGACAGAGAGAGATAGACTCAGAGGAGAGGTTTGGTGGGGGCTTCTTGTTTTCGTAGGGTTGGTTGTGTACCCCATGGTACCCCCACTGTCCGGCGCTCCCGTACCGAACATACAGCGTTTTAGGCCAGCTTCAAAGGACTTATCATCGCCTCCCCGACGAATCAAGGAGGCACCACCCGCAACCACACACCGGATGGTCTGGATTGGTGGATCAAATACTCCATCGCTCCAGTGCCGAGGCCAACCCGCCGAAGCGGATTGCTTTTTAGACACCCACAGCGGAGTGGCCAGGTGAATGTGACTCTGACCACTACGCTATCACGCTGTACGTCTGGCCGAGTGTTGGACGAAGGGTTTGAGTTGCGGTGGGAGGAAGGCAGTCGTAAAATTTAATGAAATGATGGGATTCGATCCCCGGACCCCGCCATCGGGACCACACGACTTTACGCTCTCGGCCACCACGGCCCGTGCTGAGGGGATCGGCGTGAGGTGGGTTCTTGAAGCAACAGGACTCACTGTTAAAAAAAATATGAAAATTCAGACTGATTTCGTCTTACTTGGTGGTCTGAATCGTAAATTCATAAAATGGTACGAATATTAAGACCAACTGTCTGAAAAGTTTGACATGTTGTCTGAAATTTGAATTTAGACTAGCAAGTCTGAATATTTAGAGCGATGGCTATCAAGTTTTGTACATTGTCGTCCGAAAACTAAATTCATACTTGTGAAATCGGAAAACGAGCGAAAAAAACCCGTCCCCTTTGTACATTTTTCGATTTTCTCAGAACTTTTATCAATACTACTGTTGTATTTCAAATAATATTTACGTTTAGTGTCGTAAAAGCATAGAGAATGTTTCAGAGCTCCGAAATGGACACTTATTGCTCTATCCGCTAGGTGGCGCTAGTGTCGCATGAATGATCTTTTGGAGCTAAAATTGCCACTTGAAGGCGAAATTGCGAATATTTTGTTACAAACTTATTCCAAGTGATTGTCTGGAAGGGCATGAGCGCACCAAAGCAAGATTCAGGTTAATAAGTGCAGTATAAGCTAAATAACAAAGAATACAATTTCACTCTCGCGCATGGCCACGGGTCGGCGCGTGGTTGGGCTAAGGCCGGTCTCCCTCCCAATTCAGCAGTCACCTCTAGCCTCTTCGCTACCTTTGCAAGTAGGAGTCTACTGCCTTGTACCTAATTTTTGAGCCGAGAACGATCCGCTGAGCGTCTACGATAAACCTATGCCAAAAGTTCGCCGATTTGAGTTCTACTCTACAGAGTGGCATTTTTTAGTGCGACTGTTCAATGTTTTCGTACAACTTAGTCTGATAAAATAGACCGACTGGTATCATTTTTCATACAACATGTTGATCTGAAAATTCAGACTAACGTCGTCTGAAACTTTCAGACCGCGAAGTATGAAAGTTTTGGTATGAAAATTCAGACTGAATGTAAGTAAATCGACTTCTTACAAAAAATTATGAATTTTCAGTAAATTTTTTTAACAGTGCTTGACCGACCCGGTCAAAATTTCGCAAGAAGTTGGGGGAGTCGAACCGCCGACCCTAGCAGTGGGAACCGATGCCTCTACTCCCTGGACCACCTCGTCCCACGCTCGGTGTGGGCTCTCGTTCACGGGTTTGAACCGCACTGGGTGAGGCAGTAAAATTAAATGGAAATATTTGTTAGGAGTCGAACCTCCGGCATGTGGGCCTGCTGAATACGGCTCCGCTCTGATGGCCTCGAACCACCACCCTTACAACGGAGCCATACGCCACCCTTCCCGTCGGACGATGGTCGACTGCCGAGAGGTTGTATTTATACCTCACGGAGTGAAGGGAGTCATCACCTTGAGGGAAGCACCCGTCGACGCAAAATGCAAAGTTGGAAAGTGGTCCGAAAATTGTAGACCCAGCGGGCATCGATCCCCGGTCCACCGTATTCGAAGACCAACGCCCCTACACTCTCAGCCATCGCGGCTCATGGTGAGCATTCGGTAAGGCGGTGTCTATGAAGCCAGGCTTCATTCGCTCCGCACTGTTAGCCTTCAGAAAAGAGCAAAGAAATGGTGCGACACGAACCACCAACCTCGTTGTGTTAGCGTGTCAACGCCTCTACGCTCTCGCCTGCCATCAAGCGGGATCTACAGGTGGTCAAGCAGGGTACTTGTTGACAGTTGTTCCGAATCCCAGAGGGTACGTCGTCTGGCACCCGACGTTTTTGTTGCGGTACATTCTCGCCTTCTCAGATTTAAAGGTGTTTCTTGTGAAATGGCAGGGTTGTCGTGGTCATTGAGGAAGAAAGATAAAACCAACTCACAAGCTACCCGCGAACCCCGCCGCCTTGTTCTCGATGATGGTGGGCTCCGGCGGCTTGCACATGATGATGAGCTCCTGGTCGGACATCATGACCACGCCGGGGAACTGGGGGAACCACACGCGTACGTGCACGAAGCCCTGGAAAGAGGGAGAGAGAGAGAGATCGCTCGTCGTGTCTCTTGCGGAACGGTGACAAATCAATGCTTGATCTGGCGGCCACTCAAGAGCGAAAGAGTCGCCAGGGAAAATCCCACAGTGCACTCACGTTCCTCTTGAGGACGCCGCACCGCGAGAAGTCCGTCACCAGCAGGGTGTACATGAGCTTGGCGGCGTCCCCGGGGTCAGGCTTGATCTGGCACTCCTTGTCGCTGACGGGGTCCACGGCGCGGTCGTCGGCGAACAGCGGCGACCCCTTGAAGCCGTCCGGCTTGCGCAGCTTGGCGGAGATGGAGTCGCGCGACCCGGCCGACGTCGCGAACGTGCACCGGATGTCCGAGACTGCGGACAGGAAGGACATGAGCCCCTTTCTGCCCAGCGGCGGCACACTGTATCGGCGTTACCCTTGCACTCACCATCGTAGTCCTGCGCGGCAACAATGGCATTCTGAAACAACGACACACACAGTTAGAGCTCTGCTCCTCGACAAATATCAACTGGGGGATTGAACTGTGTAGATGTTTGTGCCCCCCTCTCCCTCCCAGAAATCAAAAGCCTGAGGCTCCGTGGCAAATTGATTGGAGGCGATGGTCAGCCTGTTGCGCCCTTGGCTGCGCGGCGGCGCCGCCCTGACAGCCTCCGCCTCGCCTCCGCCTCGCCGCAGACTGGGCGCAGCCATGGCGCAGCCTGCAGACCGCACCGAGTCAAGTGCACTGATCCTGATTTCATTCTGACGATCAAACAAGACGTCCGCGGCTCCGCGGCTCCACGGCGACCGCAGCCCGGACCGCAGCGCTGTTGGCACCGCGTCGACGCCGTCACGGCGGCCAGCCGCGGCCCCGCGACGGCCGAGGCGGGCTGCGTCCCATTCAGGCGTCGCTCACAGACCACGTGGCAGTCCGAGGACTCGGCGCACCACAGGCCAGTGTAATGAAATGTACAAGAGAGCGAAGAAAGCACTGAGGCTCAGCGAAGGAGTGAGCCTGCAGCTCAGCGCGCCAATAATTCCCCTTTCCCGGATTCGCCACACAGGCACCGGGGCCGTGCGGACCCCGTTAGCGTCGTGGGCAGCGGGCTGGCAGCGGGCTGGCAGCGGGCTGGCAGCGGGCTGCAGAGACGTGGCCGAGCCGGAGCAAATGGCGTTGAAGCCTGCCGCCAATTCTTCTAACCCCGACTGCGGCAGTCTCTGCACCAGGTGGACCAGAAGGACCAAAATCGACCAAAATCAGCGACTGTTGGCAGTCACGCCGGGCACGCCCGCACCCTCCAGCGCGCCAGCGAAGCAGGTGGAATTTTGAACTTGAGTGTAGGCCCACCTTCCGAGAGCCGCCGAGGCGCGGCACCGCGGCGCGCCGCGTGGCCATGACAGCGACAGCTGAGTTGGGTTCCCGGTTCCCCCATCATGGTTTTCTTTGAGCGCACGCCCGCACCCGGGGCGGCGGGGCGGCTTTCTAGAGTGGCGGTGACGGTTCAAACTTGCGTGTGCGCGGCGGCAGTGGGGCAAACAGGTCACAGCGGAGCGATGCGTTCCGTCCGGCTTCCGACGGGGCGGGGCGGGGCGGGGCGGGGCGGGGCGGGGCGGGGCGGGGCGGGGCGGGGCGGGGCGGGCGGGGCGGGGCGAGGCGGGGCGGGGCGAGGCGGGGCGGGGCGAGGCGGGGCGGGGCGGGGCGGGGCGCGGCGGGGCGCGGCGGGGAAGTGACTTATTAGCGCGTTACTGGGGCGGCACGGATGCCGCGCCGCTGCACGCCACCGCGACGCCTGTCTTCGGTTCGCCGCGGAGCCTGCCGCTCGGATGTGCCGTCGCTTTCATGACCCCACTGCTTTCTATTTAAACTACAGGCAAACTGCGAACGGAGAGGCGGCAGCAACCCACAGTGGCTCGACGCCCGACGGCAACACATGCTGGCCGTCATAACCCACACGCCAGGCTTGACCCCTCCGGGTGGTTCTCCGCCACCGGCAGGGCTGCAGGTCGCCGACGCCCCGGCAGGCGATCGAGGGCGCCGGTGTCGTGGCGGCCGACCGGCCGATATACGTGCCGAGGCGCCGGCCGCGTTATGGCGATCGCATCGCGGTCGGAAGTGGTCGGAAGGGATCCGAAATGGATCTGTCTGGGGATCAGCCCCGCGCCGCCCCGCCTGCCCCCTCACCACCCGCCGCCGCGGCCACGCCCCGCCACGCCCCGCCACGCCCCGCCACGCCTCGCCTCGTGAGGCCAGATCTGGAGCAGGCGATGCGGTCGAGGTGATTTTGAATAAAGCGCGGCGCCATCGGACATTGCAACGGTTTAACGTTTAATTTTTCTCCACCTTCTCGCAGACGGTGGAACATTGTTGCACGAACAATATTCGGTAATGGATCGCTATACCAGCAGGGAGATGCCGAGTCGGCCCATCTCGGACGAAGGACTTCTAGGTTTATGAACCCCACGCTCTTTTACCCGTCCTCAGTCCTTCCGTCGAGCCCGTCGGGCATTGTTGGGGCCTCAGCCTGGATACGGCACTCCACTGACCCGGTCCTGACCTGCACATCCCTTTACGCTCCGCCGCGGCCCCGCATTCATTCCACACGCACGCACACACACACGTGTGTATTCAGAGAGCAGCTTCCGTCCCGAAAGAGTCACGTCACAGTCAGTCCTGGTGACAATCTGGCGGCCGCGACCGCGCCAAGCCAAGGGCCTGCGCACACACACACACACACACACACCCACACAGTCACACACGCCACAGTCGGTGCATTCCGTACCTGCATGTGCGCGTGCGCACTGCATCCCCGCGGAACGCTACAATCATGACCGGGAGATGGATGATACAGGAAAGCGAGTTTTTAGTACTTCCCGGCCATCTCAATCTCCACCCACACCGCGGCGGCGCAGGCGGGCCGCACGACGCCCGGTGCCGTTGTGACCTAGAGCGGCTGATTATTACTTACTTCCCCGGCTGTTTCGCACTGAAAAGGAGTCCGCGGTAATCGGAGTAACGAACCCTGGAGCAACCTCTCCTTCCACGCGAGGCGACGCGTGGTCCTTACGATCAGCCGCTAGCGGTAACCAAGGATTCATTCAAACGGTCTCCGCGGACGCGGCGCACTATTTCGTCGCGACGACAACCCCCGTGTGAGTTCATTGGGCATTGTGCCTGCAGGGGAATGAGGCGGCCTGAGGTGGCCGAGAGCTCTCCGCTAGCCTTCCGCGCGGCCTGAGCGCTGGGCGGCCTTAGCGGGGCATTTGGACCATGACGGCCAGCGCGCCGGCAAGGCGGCTAGCGCACCGCCAGAGATCACCCGGCCGCTCTGCACGACACTTCGATACATCGAGGAAAGGCGGGAACCTGGCGTCATGGCGGTCGACGTCCCGTACTTCGGCATTGTCAACATCCCGCGGATCGATGGCCCGCCTGGCCCGCGCGGTGGCGGTGGTGAGGCCTGTGGCGAGGCCTGTGGACTATGGAGAGCCTAGGCGGGCCTAGGGAGGCCTATGGCGAGGCTTCCAGCGAAGCCCTACCGCGGCCGTCCGGCGCGCCCTCTGATTGGCGCGACATTTCATACCCGGCCAATTAGAGCGGTGCTCTAAAGTCATCACTCTCGAGTTTCACGAGGAGGGCGTCGTGGAGCCAAGTGGTCTCTCTCCCACTTAGGTGTACTCCCGTCTTGCGGTGTGAGAGAGAGACGGAGGAACGAGGCACTGCAGAATCCGCCTGCTGCGCCGCGTGGTTTGTGTTACCATAGCCAACGAAGGCGGCGGCGGCGACCCCGCGCTGCCCCAGTTCCGACGCCGCCGCCCATGTGTGTGGCTGTTGAACGCGAACCCATAAAAACAGCCCCCTTATTACCGGTGGCCCACTTGCAGGGCTCGCGGGGCACAGATCACGGCGTACTGGACGGCGTCCTGGACGGCGTCCTGGAGGGCGTCCTGGAGGGTGCGCGCGTAAAGCGAGACGGCCGTCTTGTTGGGGCGAACGGTATCGCTTGCTTCGCTTGCCGGCAGGGCGCCATGCAGGGCGCGTGGGCGGCCGGCGCGTCGGCGCGTCGCGCATAAAATCTAGGCCAAGGTTTTGAATCGCCGGAACGCCGCCGCCGCGCGCCCCGCCGCCAAACTTCCGCCGCCGCCCCCCGCCAGGGCGCTGCGGCGATGAGAAGACCTGTTACCGCACTTAACGAACTGTGAGATGCGAGACAATGGTGGCCCGGGCCATGCCGGCCGAAATGCCGTTCCAGTGAGAAGAGAGCCCTTCCGCACACATTGATCCCGGATGAGCCGAACGCGGCCGTGACTCCAGGCTCGGCTCGGCACGGCGTGGCTCGGCTTAGCATTCCTCCGCGAATCCGATATTGCGACAACTGGCGCGCTGGGCTGGCCTGTGTGTGGTGCGGCACACTGCGGCACACTGGGGCGCAAAGCGCGCCGGCTAGCGGTCCCTTCACGCTGCGCGCCCCAGGCCGAGGAGCACGCCGTCGGCGCCGTCGGCCCTCCCGGGGCCCTACCGGCGCCGGGCCTAGACTCCAGAAGCCCCCTCGTCCCGAACGACTGGCACCCGAGGGGTGCGAACAAACGCACCGCCGTAGTGGCGGCAGTCGCGGCAGGCGCAGCGGGGCATCCCAGGCCGCGGCACTCGGGGACGCCGATGAAGACGGCCAATCAGGCGGCGGCGATGAGAAGCCGTCGCCTAAGCACCGCGGTAACGGGCGCCGGAGAGGGACGGATAGACGAGCGGCGCCAAAGACAACAACAGGCTCTCCAGGCGCCCCGAACCCACACTCTCTTTGCCGCGCAACAATCGTAATTGGCGAGGGAACGACCAGCATTAGCCGTGCCGCGGGCCGCGGCCCGCACCGCGGGTCGCACTGCCGGACAGCAACGCGCCGCGAAAAAAAGGCGGTCGGCAAAACACGGGGTCGAAGCAGGAGCAAAACGGAGCGTTTCTTTGGGTACGGCGGCGCCGCGCGGCGCAAGGCACGGCTAGTTTGGTCCAAATCGGGCGGCACCGGTCGCTCGGCGAAGAAGGGACAAACGGTGCCACCGAGCTGATAGATAATACGGCTTCCGGTCGGCGAAGGCGAAGGCCGTGCGGGAGGCGGGGGCGAGCCCTCCGCCGCGCCGGGAGGAGGGGGGCAGCATGGGCCATGGCCACGCTGGGTGAACTTGCGGTGGTTCCGCGCTCTGAATTTTGCCGGCATGCCGACGCGATGCTACGCCGAGCCGGGCAGGGGGGATCCCCTTTCCCCTCCGGCACACACGCTGGTGTGTGTGTGTGTGCAGGAGCCACATACATGTCTATTTTTTTAGTTTTGGTCCAGGCGCAGTTAGTTTGTGACGGCTGCCCGCGTCGGCCTGGCACTGCCACGTCACTCGTGCATAGGACGACGGCAACAACAACAACAACAACAACAACAACAACATGACCGTTAAACGCACGCATCCACTCGGGAACTCGGCCATTATTCGCAGTCCCTGTGCCTCCCCGGACTCCAGGCACCGCCGGCACCGCCTGGCTATTAGCAGCCGATGACCATCGGCCGGCCGCTGGCTCCATTGGTCCGGCACCGCCGCCTGGGCGCGCCGCGGCCGTTCCATTTCTCGCACTAATCAGCAAGGCGGAGGCAGTGCAGGCAGTGCAGGCACTGCAAGTCAGAGCCCTGCCGCCAGCCGCACCGGGCCGCAGCGACAAGCGTGCATGCAGAGTCCGCGGCAAAGATCGTCAACGGGTGGATCGCGTTGGATCGTGCTCGCCAACGTCGGCCCGGGTCGGTCCCGACCCAAGCCCTGGCGGGCGTGGGCCCGGCCGGCGACTGGCCCAGCTTCGAGTCCCGGCAGAAGCCTGCATTTTTGTCGGTCTCTGGTACCCTTCAGGTTCTTGAAAAGGAATCTCCACGGTATTTATGTGTGCCGTGAAATGTTAGTTGCGGTTGCAGCTCTGAAATCGCGAAAAAAAATTATAGCGCCGCCGGGACTCGAAGCTGGTCAACGGTTTGGGCCAAAACCGGCGCTTCGGTTTGGTTCGGAACCGACCCGAACCGACATTCGGGAGCACGATCCATCGCGATCCACCCGTTGACGATCTTTGGTCCGCGGCGACGCGACGTGACGGCGAAGCGCAGGCAAGCCGAGGCGAGCCCATGTAACCCGAGTAATACACGCGGATACACGCGCGTTGCGCGATTATAACCCGTTCCCTGACAACACGGAGGAAGGACGAGCTCGCCACCAGCCCTGCCACCAGCCCAACGTGGAACTACCAGTACAGAGGGCTGGCCGCGCAGGGCATCACGATCCCCGTGTACAGACTTGAGTCGCACAGCCGATGCTCACAGTTTGTCCGACGTCGTGAATCAGCCGAAACTTTTGTCCAACCTTTCGCCCGAGCTGCCTTTTTTGTGCGACCTCCGCTTCGCCCGTCCATTTACACCGCCACAGGGCCAGGCTGCAGCCGAAGGGCGACTAGGCGCTCCATTGATCCAAACACCCGCGGCTCACTCTCTCTGTCAATCAAGACGTGGCTGCAGGACAGTTTTCCCAAATCAAACTTCGTAAACCTGTTAATCTGTTTTGGTATTTGTTTTCCATTGAATAATTTTTAAACACATTTCAACGCAAATTAGTGTACCAGAAATAAAATCAACACGACAAAGAAAATTTCTGCGAAAGAGGGCACCCCGGCGAACCGGCCCTCTTCCCCGCTGGCTTGGTGAGCCAGTGGTTCCCCCATCTCATCACAGGAGCAACCTCAGAGTTAAACCGCAGTGGCCCCGTCATTGGTCACGTCATCTGTGATGTGGAGGAGTCCTCTCATAGTAGGCCAGGCTGCCACCTTTCCCAGTAGTCGGGTTTCGTTCCCGGCCCCCTTCCCACTCAGGGGCCATGCTACTGGTACTCAGGAGTCTGCGTCACCCTGCCCAGCAGCGGAACCACTGGGCTATGAGAGGCACACTGGACGCCGGCCGATTTTGTATACTTGAACCGCCTTCTTGCGATGCAAGCTTGGTCAAAATATTCGGTATCGTACCAGGTATCGAACCCCGGACCCCGCAGTTCGGAACCGACGCCTCTGCGCTCTCGGCCACCAAGGCCCATGTGTGCCGCTCTGAGAAGGGGAGCCTTTGAAGCCGCTGGTCCGAACCGTATAGTCAGACAAAAAGAGCGGGACGCGGGTATTCGATCGCCCGATCCGCGTGTAGGATTGAAACATCTCTACACGTTCGGCCACCGCGGCTCACCGGGGGAGCGTAGTGGCGCAACGGGTCCAAACCGCATCGGAAAAGCCACTCCTATAATGTAAAGAATTGCTGGGAGTCGAACCCTAGCCCCTACGCGTGATCATGATTCGTGCGATGCCAGCTTGGTAAAAACATTCCGGATCGGACGGGTTTCGAACCCCGAACTTCGATGTCCGGACCCGACGCCTCTCTGCTCTCGGCCACCACGGCATATGACATGGACGTTGTGAAACGAGGTGCAAGCCGTGGGCTCGAACCGAGAGCCAGTAAAAGTGTGTGAGTGCTGGGATTCGATCGCCCGATCGTGGCACGCTGATCGCCGGCCGATTTTGTGCGAAGCCAGCTTGGCAAAAACATTCGAGACCGGACGGGTTTCGAACCCCGAACTGTAATGTCGAGACCCGACGCCTCTCTGCTCTCGGCCACCACTGATCGAAGGAACCGAAGTCCTTGAAGCCATGGGGTGGAACCGCAATGTTAGAGCCGCAGTAAAAATATGCACGTGTCGGGGATCGATCGCCCGATCCACGCCCCGCATACCGACGCATTTGCATACTCGGCCACCGTGGCCTGGTGGAAGCGGGTTGAATCTGCAGTGGAATAGTCCGCTGAAAAACGGGAAACATATTTTTTTCCTGTGTTCAACCGGTGTTGCTCTTCCTTTTTCAATTCCGCAGACCCTCTCAGTAATGGCAGCTTCAGACAAACGTCAACTCGAAACGGATTTGGACGCCCTGATGGAAGGGCACCGCGTTGCGCCGCGTCCGCCGCGTCTCGCCAACGGGAGGGCCGCGGACGTTGGTTGGGCCGGCAGTGCTGAGAAAATGGCCATTTTTCGAAGGCCGAATGAAGCGTGACATCGTAAAATGTTCTCGGATCGCGTCCGAGCAGCCAGGCCAGACCAGGCCAGGCCAAGCCGTGCTGGCCCCACGGCGTCGACGCGGCCCCTCAGATTTACGGTATCCACCCGCCTTGCGCCGCGCCTCGCGCCTCGCCGCCTAAACGCCGCGGCAAATTTTCAATGCAGGCTACTTGATCGCCACGCCGATTTAATGACGAAGCGGAGAGGAAGTGCGAAAAGGGAGCGGGCGCGTCGCATCGCATCGCGCCTGTGGCCGGAAAATCGGCCTCCGCGGTCCCACTTTCTCAGCAGCTTAGAGCTCCTTTTTGTTGGCGCCTCTTTTTGTGGAAAGCGCTGGGCGGACGAGGCCGACGAGGCCGGCCGGCCGGCGGAAGCGAGAACCAATCTCTGCGCATCGAGCAGGTCAACAAGTGCGGCGCGACCCGCCGACCCGCCCGCTTCATGGCCGTTTCATTTTTTCGGGGGGCTAGTCGGCGGTGGGGCCGGCGGGGCAGATACGCGGCGTCCCTGTTTTATGCCAATCGTCGTTTGGCCAAATCTACGAACGGCACGGTATTCTGCTCGGCATCGTGCATCCCAGAGCAACCTAACCTAACCTAACCCTAACCTAACCTAACCTAACCTAACCGCTGGCTCGTCCTCCGCGTTCGCCGAGCCGCGCTAAACCCACACCACACGGCGGGTGATGCGCTGCAGTCACGCTGGGCGGCGCTTGAGGCTGCTGCCCTGTCGGCCTAGCATCCGGCAATTCCTGCCGTCGGTAAGGTGCACCGAGTCCCGGTGGCGGGAGCAACACTGCTGCAGCAGTCGACCGGAGCCCGGAAGAGCCTGAGACTCGCGGCCACCGCGCACCCAGGCCAGCGAGGTCCAGAGGGTTGGCGAAAGGTGGAATGAAGCGCGTAGTTCAATGCTTTTCACTCCTAGCCCACCTCACAGGGGCTAGGACAAGACTTCGTCAAAACGGAATTTGCAAGGAATTCTAAATAGAAAATGAAAAGCATGTGCAGTTTCCAAAAAAAGGGGGGGGTGAAAAAATCTGAGACGCACAACGCATACTCAGATAACACAATAAGACAAAAGAAAGGAAGATGGCATTACAACGCGTTTCTTCAAAGCAGCCCAACTCTTGTTTTCGCACCGAGAAACGAACAATTCAAACAGTTATTGGTACACAACTGTGCCAAACTCGTCAAAATTCGTGAACATTAAGTTTTTCTTTTTAATTTCGGGCAGTGATGAAACTTTAGCCAAAGTCGGAAAAGGGGACGTTCATTCATACAGTACTCCTGAAATTACGTAGTAAAGAATGCTGCGGTGCGCGGCGTCACACTGGAAGTCGCCCCGCACCGAGGCTTCGTGCGTAGGACTGAAGGGCGCAGCGGTGGGTCACCTCGCGGTTGAGTGTTTGGCCGGGTGGCCGGGGGACGCTGGACAAGCTCGTCATGCTCACCGAGGTCGCGAAGCACACCACGAACAGCAGCGCCGCGGCCAGCTCCTTCACCCGGAGCGGCACCGTCCGGGCGGGCCGCACCGGCCTGACGGGGACCATGGCCTCGGCCAGGGCCATCCACACCCCGCACCCCACACACACGCTCGCGAAAACACACACACACAAACACTCCGCCGCCAACGACAGCAGGCGTGACTCGAACGCGGCTGGACTCGGCGCGGATCGTCGAGGAGGCCCTGTTGGCCGTGTGGAGGTCGAGGACGGACTGAGTGGCATCCAGGCACCCGGCGACGACGCTCCCCCTCTCGAGCTGTGCTTTCCGTGATCCTGCGCGCGTTCACGGCTCGCCGCCCCTCCAGCCCGAGGTTCGCGATGCCCCCCTCCCCTTTCCCCAGAGCAACTAACATCCGTCTCGGCCCCGTGCGCCCCCCTCCCCCTCCTTCCTGCAAGCTTCCCTTAAGCCCCACTAGACGACACGTCATGGCTCCAGGCATGGCTTCTGGAGATGCCTCACTCTGTGCGCATTTTGTCTTTTGGGTGGACTGGGATCATTCCTGACTGCAACGTCTTCAGAGTCGCTCAGCAGCCTCCACAATAGTGGTAGGAAAGTGCGCTGTCTTCTCTGGCGATTTTGTTCAAGTTGGAGCCTCAGCCTGCCCATTGCGCCTGGAGCATGCCTGGAGACTGCAACGCGCGACCCACCAAGAGCCCACCGCGCCCACCGCGCCACCATGCGACGCCCCTTGTCTCTCTCGCGTCCGCACTCGGCGTTCAGCAGGGCAGTGGTCTCCAGTGACTCCAGTGGTCCAGTTCCGGCGACGGAGCCAGTCTGCCTGAGGCCCGAGTCATGCTCCAGTGCGACTGCTGGACTGCTAAATAAACATGACCGGGGTATCGCCGTCGCGTCGGACCGTCGGGGCGCAATGGGGCCGCCGGCACAGCAAGATGGTGATTCCGAACAACAGTTCTCGCGTCGCTCCGTCTCTCTCGCACTCCTGTGGCGGCCCGCAGGGGTGCGAGGGAGACAGAGCGATGGATCTCGGCCAGAATAAGCCAGTGGATGCAGTCCGCGAGCCGCCATGATTGAGCCGCGTCCCTGCCGGCCCCGCCGGCTTCGCCGGGCCGCGCGGTGACGGTTATCATTGTAATTGCCCCGCCTCACTCTCCGCCTGGCACCGCCGTCACAGCTCCGTTGCCGGGGTAACGCCCTGCTGGCCCTGCCGGCCCTGCCGGCCCGATCGGCGAGCCTTACTTCGCCCAGGGGTGCGGGACACGTCAGCGTCCTGGGTGCGCGGTCCGGGGTGCGGAGCGTCCGGCGACAAGGAGGATGGCGCGCATCATCCGCCACGCTGCTTAGCGGCTAAACGCCGCGACGCTCCAGTTGACTCGCCGATGACGTGGCCCATGAAGACGAGAAAAAAAACGAGGAGTCCCGCCGCGAACAAACGCCGCTTTTAATCCTCTGCCAGGCAAACTAATACCGCTCCACCACTGCAAGTTGGCGGTGAGCAGGATGATTGTTGTACTGAAAGCTTGACCACCCTGGAAGGCGTTTGGCGCATAGTCGTCTGAAATGCCCCTTTGACCTCTGCCCAAGTCTCGGCCCGGCCTCGGCCCCCGGGACAAGCTCGAGGCCCCGCTCACCGCCTCTGCCTTTCGGGCCATCTTCATATCTGGAGCGTGTCCGCGCGCTGGCTGGCGCTGGCTGGCGCTGGCGGCGCGGCGTGGCGCGGGGATCCGAAGTGTACGGTACGGCGGCGGGCCTCGGCCACGGCGGCCACGGCGGCACGGCCTGCTCGGCGTGGCGCTGTCAGTCGAGGCCAGGGCGCGGCGAGGCGGTCTGTCTCTGTCATCTGTTTGCGTTGGACCGCCTCGCCGCCGCCGTCCCGCACGCCGTGATTTGCAGGGGATCTTGTACAGAGGAATGTGCAACTTTCGGGAAACCGAAAATGTGGCGCTCTGGCCAGCAGAGCTCCGCCGAATGTCGGTGGAGGCCCGCGTGCTCTTCTGTGCGTGCATGAGAGAGAGAGAGAGAGAGGAGGGAGAGAGTAAAACGGTAAGGAATCCCTCGAACTCTCGGTGCGTCGGCCCGTCCTCCACGCTCCAGCTGCGCCCGCTCGCGGCATCCACTTTGTCAAGGACATGGCGCTAAACGGCGTCCACGGCGCGCACGGAGCGGCACTGTAACGGCTCGATCGACACTCATCCCCCAGACGCGGCAGGCATCGCCGGCACCTCCTTGCCCCGCCCCGCCTCGCCGCGGCGCCACGCCAAGAGATGCCGCGCCGTTTTTCGTGTTTTGAGAGTCGGAATGCGTGACCGATGGCCGGAGACTCCGCTGCGCACTCGCCGCGACAGTCCGAGCTGTATGCACCATTCCGCGGGGAGGGAGGAGATGCACCGGAAAAAAGAAGACAAGAAAAGTGGATGGCCCGACGCCTGCGGAGCGACAGGTAGGCCAGCCCGCCAGTGCACGGCGGACGGGCGGGTTGCCTATCGCCGGTCTGCAGGCGCTCGCTGGCTCCACGGGCCCTTCTTTGAAAACGTGCGCGCTGCAGCGGGGCCGGCCCGTACGCTCTAGTAAATTGAAAACCTCCGTTTTAACGGTGTGTGATCCAGGAATGCGTTTGGCGGCGGCTCGGCTAATGATGCTCGCCGCGGCATCGCGATGACTTCATCCGTGTGCTTCATCAGGGCGATCGCAGGACGCGGCGTGGACCTCCAGGACCGCCTGGACCTCCTGGGCCTCGTGGCTCTCATGCCAGCTAGCCTTTCCGTTCATTTCCAAGGCCAAAGGCACAGTTCTGTATTGAGCCGATTTACTGAAATTCAGGAAACGTTGCTGCTGATCGAAAGATTTGGTGTATTGCGTGCCCCCCCCCCCACCCCACTATTTCCTCTCCTCTTGAGAAGCACAAGTGCATTAACGAGGAACAGAGATCGGATCTCCACTGTGCATATCGCTGCACGCCAGCGAAAAAAAAGGGCCCATCATCCAGAAATGCAAACCGCTTCATGGCTCTTACCGTGACCATCAAGCATTCTGGGGCCTTTCTGTTTTGAACTGATTGCCCGGCGGGGGAACGCCAAAATTGTCACGTGCTGAAAGTCATTTTGCTTACGACTGAGTTTTCACTACAGTGAAAAATTCCCGCCACATTGTCGTGTGTATCTCCAGAGACGTTTATATTTTTTTTTTCAAATCACGCTGTGCCAATACTCTGTTTTTATGTGGCTTTCTTGGACAGTGGTGGTGTGAATAACGATTTCTTCAGGGAGCTAGCGAGGCGTGGAGTGCACTTGTGTCCGGTTAGCAAGGCGGGAATGACCACCGTTGTGCCGGTACACATGCCTAACGGCCGGCTCACATGTTCGCATTCATATTCATGTTCTCTCGGGCGCCAAGGAAGCACCCCTTCGTTCGCTCGACTTAATCTCGTCCTTGATTTAAGGGGATCCGACGAAGAAGGACCTGCCGTTCATTGCGGCAGGAGCGAAACCAACAAGAAGTTAACTTCAAACAAGAGCGAAACCTTCGACAGCGTCAAAAACGCAACACGAGCAGTTGGCTATGTTATGCTGTGCTCTCGTCTGCTCCGCACGCCGTCGTCGTGGACGCTTGGATGTTCGCGCTTTGGTTGGCGCGGCGCGGCGCTCGCTGGGGGCCTGTCCACTGCATAGTAGGTCACCACCGTCATGGTCAGGAGGATTTATAACGCGGTATGCTTTGTGCGCGAGGCGTGGCGGAGCGCGGCGCGGCGGAGATACTGGACTAGTAAACGGAGTGGCGGCACTGACGTATTCTCTGGGGGGAAGAGGGGGGGGGGTCAAAGGAAAAATTTAGATCTAACGCGCGACTAAGGTCAACCTGATAAGTAATCTGCTGGACGAACCCCAAACTGTCGTCAGGTGCCCCACTTGACAACCTAAAACAAAAATACTGCTGCTGAGAGTCACTGCTCTGACTCCAAACAACAAAAACCGGCGTTCGAGTTCCACTTCCTTTTTCGTTGCTGCACGCCAACAGCACACCGCTTCACCAGCCAGCCTTAGCGCAGTTACAAGAGGAACAGTGAATTCGGAATGAAGCAATGCTAGTAGACAATACTCTCACAAAGGTATTTATTTATTTAAAAAACGACGTAAGAGAATAATAAACTGTGTTGAATGCTTCACGACGAATGCTCGCTCCTTTTAAAGTGGATTTCACAGACAGTCATACAGGAGACAAAATTAATCTGCTATTGTGCCGCCCTGCAAGAGCCCACCCACGCCCCTACCTCATTATCTCATCAAGGAACAGTTTCTGACTGGACTGCCCCACACCATAGTTTGGTGGAAACGTGATGTTTCTTACATAAGTTTCATATTTAAATTTCTAAAATTTTGACTGGCAGTGCTTTACCCCGCCCTGCGTGGAAGACGATTCGTGTGGCAGCACAACTAGTTGAGCAACTATCAGGGTGTTTCCTCGCTTAATTAAAAGTAAAAACTTAAATCGCTATTGGAACAACGCTCCGTTCCTTCTATAAGAGGCTGTGGGGACCGTCCATCAAGCTCGCAAGGACGTTGCAAGCAGGACTTAACCACCCTCTTCTTATTTTTCTTCCTCGCTTGAACCTTAATTGAAAATCAGTTACACACTAAAGATTCTCCTAGCACCTTGAATCATTATCGATAAAGGACGGTCCCTGCTGGTCGAGACCCTGCTCGATCTTTGGCTCGTTAAGTGTAACTTCGAAGATGCAGCTGGCAGGGTGATATCACGAACTAAGCCTGCAACTGCGATGCTCTTCCTAATTTTACAGTAAAACTAAGATACAAAAGAAACATACACACGGCTAAACTCTAAACATTTTCCGCGTATCTAATAGGGGTTTCTGCCCGGACTCGATTCGTCAAATTTGTTATGATTAGCGTTTGCAAAGCTTCCTCGTGAAGCAAACGCTCGGATCTTAATACTAACCTAAATACATTATCACAATGAGAGTACTAACTAAACATACAAATCCAACTAAAACCTACTCCAGATCATTTCCAGTCATAGTTTCATCCATTCTGGGAAATAAACAGAAATCCGTCAACACAACCAACGGTCTAAGTACAAATTTGGCAAGAATGCAACGGGACGAGTTGATCAAAGCGTGGCGCCGCCTGAAAATTCAAGCCTTTTTGATCCGCAAGCCCCGTGGGGCACACCGGAACGCAGTGCACAGGTCCAGGTGACAGGACTGTCCACTGGTCAGGTTCGTGAGCACCAAGACCAAGGTCCACCCCATGGTCCACTGCGGCCACTCGTTTGGCGGCAGTTTCTTCAATTTCCTTTCTCTTTCCCGCACACGCGTCAGGTTGACGCCCTCCAGCGCAAGCCGCACCAGAAGGTGAGGCGGTAGAAGGCGGCCAGGATGACCAGGTTGACGATCTCGCTCCACGCGCTCTGCCCCTCCACGTCGAGGAAGCGCAGCACCTTCTTGGGGTTCTGGAAGTGGCAGTAGTACTCGTTGCAGTCGAGCATCTGGCGGTCGAAGCCGAACATGGTGAGCACGAAGGCGGCCACGCCGCTGCGCAGGAAGGACGTCTTCATGAGGGCCGTGATGTACCAGGGGATCTGCTGCGCGAAGTCGAAGCCGTACACCGCCAGCCCCATGAACGGCGCGATCAGCATGGGCCCCACGGCGGACCCGTTCTGCAACAAGAGCCTGAGTAGGTAGGCAGCCCAACCGACGCGCCGGCCGGAAGGGGGGCCGCCCTGGCTAGCGCCTCGGGGGCAGACCGTGGAGCGCTGCACGTACCGTGACGCTGAACACGGCCCCGATGGAGTGGCCGAAGCCCTCGGCCACCAGCGAGATGAGGATGCCCGTCAGCACCATGATGAGGAACCTGTCCAGCTCCATGGGCAGCCCCGACGAGTAGTAGATGATGGCCAGGAAGTAGCTGGACAGCACGAACTGCACAAAGGAGCAAGCGTGACACACTGCGCGCTCAATGGGAGACGGCGGAGGGGTCCGCGGTCCGCGTTTTACCTGGAGGGGCATCTTGGCGACGCTGAGGGCCACGTAGTACGCGTTGAGGCCGTACCATCTGTTGAAGTGCTCCTTTTTGAACAGCTTGACATCATACGGATCTGCAAGAGAAATGCACGAGGGCTTCAGCATTGCTTTGCACATCACGCGCGGTGGCGTAAACAGGAAAGAGGGGGGGGGGCACCGCTCCTTCACTTTGAGCCGGATGGGCTGCCTACCCTTACGGCGCGGCCAAGCATGCCGGCGGTACTCACAGACGAGGACGGGCACCATGACGTGGGTGTACGTGTAGAAGAGCACCAGGCCGATGGAGAACTTCATGTGCGTGAAGAACTGCGAGCCGTCGCGCGCCACGTTGAAGTAGAGCACGGCCACCATGAAGGCGCACATGGAGTGGTGCATGAACTGGATCTGCAGCGCCACCTGCCCGAACAAACATTCCTTAATCACTCGTCGAGACAACAGTGGCAACTGCATTTTCGACACACGTCCACACCAAACGCCTCTAAACCACTCGTAATGTGCCGATGCGATTCTACTGCTAATTAGTGAGGACAATTCTTTGTCAACTACGGCTTGGTTTGGAGACCACTGCCGGCGTGGTGTGGCGGTTAGTTCGCAAAATGCAGTGGTGCAGTAGAGCTGGCCTTGCCGACGTACAAGGCGTTGGAGCACAGGGCCAGGGCCGGCCAGGGCCGCCGGCGACTGCGAGCTCACTCAGCGCGGCGGAGAGTTCCCCGCGAAAGACAATTTTATTTGCACGGCGTGGCGCGTCGAGTGACACCGCGCCGGTGCGGCTGACGCCGCGGAGGTCATTCGCACCTTGTTCCTGCAGATCTGCAGCAGCATTCGGCGCAGCAGCACGGCGAACTGCAGCCAGCACGACGTGGGGAACTGCATGTCGTCCTGGCTGCTGCCGTGGCGGCGGCCCGGCGTGGCGTGCAGGGGCGCCTCCGGCTCCGCGTCGACCGCCTCGCCCTGGCTGGAGCCGCTGCACTCGCTCAGGCACTCCCCTGGCGGGCCAAACAGTCACTCTCGTGGCGCTGGTTGGTTAAGATTCGGAAAGGCCACCCTGCCCGACATTACCTTTGTCCACCTCCAGCATGCTGCCCTGGGGCGTCCTCGTCAGCTTGCCGTTGTCCACCGACTCGGAGAGGATCTGCACGAACTCGGCGTCCGAGTCCGTCAGCTCCATCACTGCAACAAAGCGTCGAACCAAACTTTTTGTGATTTTTGGCGCAGTTTTAGGCGACCAGTCCCGCGGCCTGTCCGTGGCCTGTCCTGCAGTTCCGCTCTCCTTCGCATCCGTTTCCCCGGCCAAGCAGACGGCGCGCTTACGTCACTCGTCTGCCGACCACGCGGCCGACGCGACATCGCAGCGCCGCCCTCCGAAAGCGGTCAGGGCCCCGGCAGCGACAGCCGCGACAGCCGCGACAGCCCCATCGGCCGACCGGGACAATGCGTAACGAGGCGCGCGTGTGAGTGCGTGCGTGAGTGTCAGTGTGAAGGTGTGTGCGTGCGCGCCTGTTTGTGCGCGCATTCACTCATGTTTGTGTTGAGGGGGACAGCGCAGCCGCCACCACGTAACGCGGACAATGTCAAGGCCCAAACGGCCATCGCCAAAGGGCCATCGCCAAAGGGCCATCGCCAAAGGGCCATCGCCAAAGGGCCATCGCCAAAGGGCCATCGCCAAAGGGCCATCGCCAAAGGGCCATCGCCAAAGGGCCATCGCCAAAGGGCACTAACGCGCAAATCGCAAACCCATTCGAAACGGTAGTGCGTTGGCAGTGGCGAAGGCCATGCTGCCTTAGTGCCTCTCATCGAGGAGCGAATGAGCGGTAGCCCTTGCCCACTCGCACCGTGCAGCGAACACTCTGTGTCCCCTTAAGAGATTGCCCTGGCCCTGCAGCCCTGCAGCCGCGATTCGGGAGGCGACTGGATCGATGCGGCCGGGCCATCGGCCGGCCCGGTTCAAAGGCTTGCATTATTCGGCTTTCACTTCTCCCCTGCCCCACCCCCGCCCCCTCGGCCCTCGGCCCGCCGGGGGCTTTGCGCGGGGTTTCGCACAGGGCTGTGGCGGCACGGCACGCCACGGCACGCCACGGCACGCCACGGCGCGGATCCACGCGAGCTCTCGCCGACCTGAATCGCATTTGCAAAACTCGGGGCGCCGTCGAAGCGCAGCACAGAGATGGCTGCGCAAGGCCGCCCACTGCTGCAGCAGCAGAGCAAGCCTGTCTAGCCGACTGTCTAGTTTCGCTGCTTCCGCGAGCAGCATTTTTCTATTAGCAGATCACTCGAGTGATCAGAAAGCCATGGTTTGAGCGACGTTTTCCGCGATGAGGCGTGGCCGCGTGGTGCCAAACGACCGAGTTCCTCGTGCAGGTCATACCACCGCAGCTTGGTGCTTCGCGTTTTGGGGTGCTGTTTTTGCGAGTACTTACGAAAGTCGGCGGGGTTGTAGTGGCGCGGGCATGCGATGTGCGACCGCGCCAGGAAGGGCACGAGCTGGCCGGGCGGTCCCTGGAACACGCAGCGGCCTCTGGCCAGCACGTACACGTGGTCGAACAGCTCGAAGAGGCTGGCGGACGGCTGGTGGATGGTGAGCACGAAGGTGCGGGGGCCCTCGTGCGCCAGGCGGCGCAGCAGGCGCAGGCACTGCCCCGTCGACACGTTGTCCAGGCCGCTGCGGCAGAAAGGCACAGTCAAGGCGCAGTCAAGGCACAGTCAAGGCGCAGTCAAGGCACAGTCAAGGCGCAGTCAAGGCACAGTCAAGGCGCAGTCAAGGCACAGTCAAGGCGCAGTCAAGGCACAGTCAAGGCACAGTCAAGGCGCAGTCAAGGCGCAGTCAAGGCACAGTCAAGGCGCAGTCAAGGCACAGTCAAGGCGCAGTCATTCGAGTCCTTAGGGCGCCAGCCACACCATCCGTGTCACAGGGCCTGGACGTGGTACCCAATCACACGGTGCGTTAAAGGGCTAGGCGCGCAGATTTTGACCGCCAAAGTTCGGCGTTGTGAAAAGATGGCGCCGCGCGCGAGGTGGGTGGGCGTCGCTGGCACTGCCAATGCTCGGCGCCGCGTTCCGGTTTGCATTCACGGTATTCCCTGGCCCACTCGTGCGCAGCGCCGTGCCGAAATTTAAAGCGCATCATCTCCGCGCCTTGCGCCTTAACGTAGAGTGCGATGCAAGCGAACGAGTGCCGCAACGCCGGGGCAGAGCGGGGCAGGGCAGGAGCATGCGCAAACAGTGGCGGTGCCTTCCCAAGGGCGATGCGCTCGGGAGCACCGCCGCCGTGCAGGCCGTGCAGGCACACCGCAACCACCTACGCGACCGCAAGCGCGCAAGCAGCCGAGCGATTCCCAGCCATGCCGAACGCTCGCTTCGTCCACTGTCTCCCTTGGTCTCCATCTCATCCATGGGTGTCCCGTGGGTGCGAGAAAGACAGAGCGACGCTGCGATCCTTCGCATAGCCGCTCGGTTGGCCGACCGCGGCGTGGTTCTGCTGCACCGGCGGCAGACATTGGGCATGGCCTGACCCAACCTCACCTGGTGGGCTCGTCGAGGAAGAAGACGGGCGGGTTGTTGACCAGCTCCAGCGCGATGGACAGGCGCTTCTTCTCGCCGCCCGAGAGCCTCTCCGTCCTGGTGGCCGCGGCGTGCAGCAGGCCCAGCTTGTCCAGCACGTCGCTAACCTGCGCAGAGAGGGACATCAGTCGCCGTTTATGTTTTGGACTGACTTTCAGCGGCCACGGCGAGTGGCCCACGCCGGCAAATCGGACTCCCTCGACGAGGCTGTATCTTCGAAGCTTTCTTTGGCGTGCCTTTGCCAGAATTCTTAGGAAACACCAAGAATACTTGAGAATACGAGTATGAAAAACCCAGCGAGTTTCGAGAAAACCCGGACGGAATGACCCCTATGCGCAGACAGGGGCCGAAGCTTGCATTCCGATTGCCTTCCGCTGAGGCGGCGCCCCTCCCCCCGCCCTTTTTTTGGTCCTGCCCCACCTCGCCGTAGTATTCCGTTGTTGGCTTGACAAATTTCCGCCGCGACGCCGCTCACAGCGACCCGCGGAAACCGCTACGGCACGCACACACCGCGAGACGGACCACGCCCGCCGCCCGCCGCCACGCCGCCCCACTGCAGCGGGGCCGGCGCGGCCTGCAGCCCTGCAGTGTGCTCGAGGTGCAGTCATTATTGGCGTCTCGTGCGGGACGCATGCATGACTAAACGCGTGGCCAGTCCGGGCCAGTCCGGGCCAGTCCGGACCAACCAGGGCCAAACCGCCGAGGACAATGCGATAACGTTCCCTGGTCCGTTTTCAATGAGCCCTTACAGAATGTATAAACGCAACTGACTTATTCCGAAGGTGCCCGCTATGAAAGGCGTGGGGGAAAAGACTGAAAATAAGAACGGGGATCACAGAAAAGGAGTCGCAGCAGGCGGACTCGGAGACAGCAAGCCAAAACGCTTCTCCAGCAATTCCTTGATTGTGAGTATGAAAGGAAAATGCCTGGCGCGCTTTATCATTCTGCCTGAGCTCGTGCGGTAAGTGTCGGTAAGTGTTCACATGCAAAGAGGCCTTCGCCTCGCAAATGCATTGCGGCGGCTAGACCAAACGGACATTGATTTTTAAAATATTTTTAAGTGCACTCAAAAGAAATGGAATGAATCAGAAATTTGTCTGATAACGTGATGACATCCAGCCCAGCCCTTGTGCACGTGACTGCTAAAAGCTGGCTCGCTCCTCAGTGACCCCACCGTAATTACAATCTTCGTGATTATGAAAACGCGCTTCTCCGTCCAAGCAGGAGCAACCTCTCTGTCACTCTCACACGCACACACGCGCACAGGCTCTGCACTTACACACACACACACACACACGTCTACGCGCGCTCGGTTGCGCTTATACCGGTAATCTCAAGGGCGTCCGACCCGTCTTATTGATGCTCGCTCTGCAACGCGGAACCGGCAGGCAGGCCGGGCTAGCTAGGCAAGCCAGCGCCGGCGCCACGCCTCGCGCCTCCTCGCGCCTCCCAGGGTCCTGGCCAACGTCTCTTGGCAGAGCGCACTTTCCTTACGGGACAGTCAGAGCCAAAATGCCCTTTGGAGCGCACCAGCCTCCGGTCCTACTCGCTCGGACCCGAAGCCTTTGACGGGACTTCCCCCGCCGTGCTGCGGCGCGGTCAAGCGTACTCACCACCCGGATCCGCTCCTGGTGACTCGTGTTGGAGGGCAGCTTGAGGCTGGCCGACACCATCATGAGCTCGTGCACGGTGAGCAGCGGCTGCAGCAGGTCCTCCTGCGTGATGTAGCGCGAGCACTTGTTGAAGGTGCGGGGGTTCCTCTGGCGGCCGTTCACCGTGAGGGAGCCCTCCACGCCGCGCGTCCTGGAGGAAGCACACAGCACAATGAGTTCGACGTTGCATCGATACCGGTCGGTGCATTGATCGGGCATAACGCGTTGCCTCAGCGCCCTCAGCGTTGGGCAAGCCACGGCCCAGCCACGGCCAAGCCACGGCCAAGCCCTAATGATGCAGTGGCGCCGGCCTCTGCCTACAATTTGCTGCCGGCAAAGGCAAAGGCAGCGGCACGAAACGAAACGGGCCTCGCGCGTACGCCGCCCCGCCGCCCGCTGCCGACCTGACGCACTGACGCAACCCCCGTCCGATGCCCCCCCCCCTCCGGGCCCTCTTCCCAGAAACTCGAGGTAATTAGTCGGTTTCTAACGCGGCGCGCTTAAATTCGTTTCAAGTGTTCGTCACCAGGTGGCGCTAAATTACTCCAGCGCCGCGTAACGACGGTCGCTCCAGCTCCAGCTGATAATGACTTCCGTGAAAAATATCGCCATTGGCTAGGGGAGAGGGGAGGGGGGGAAGTAGGCGTTCTCTCAGGGAATGTTTAACCAGAGAAAAATTGAGGTACGTGTGAACCGGCCTCCACTTAGCTGACGCGGCGATGACAGGGAAGGGGGGAGAGGGGCACAGAACACTTTCTCCGGAAGGTCCCTTTTCCAGGCAGTGTATTGCAGAGGCCCGTATGGCAGGACTGGAATCGGCACGCCGCGCCGGGTCGAAGGACGGTCGGACGCAGGGACGCCGGGCGGACGGACTTGGACGGTCGGCCGGAGTGGAGTATGACGTTCGGGCGGCGGGGGGAGGCTGTGTACTGCAGGAGCACCGCGGCATGCATGAATGGGCGTAGCACCTTTCACTTTTATCGAACTCTGCAGTCGTGAGACATGCGATTCGGTTCGCTGTCTTCGCGGGAAAAAACGACTCCTTTCGGGTCACTTTTAGACCGCTATTTCTGCAACGCTGCGATCGCGGTGCGGCGCACGGGGTCATGACAGGCGAGAGGCGGAAGCCTCTCAGTGTACGTGCGGCGTGCGGCCTGCGGGCTGCAGCCTTTCCCTGCCACAATCAAGAATTCAAATCGGCCGAGGTGGCCCCAACATGATTGGGCCGACGGCGCGCCGTGGCGGGGCGTGGCGGGGCGTGGCGGGGCGTGGCGGGGCGTGGCGGGGCGTGGCGGGGCGTGGCGGCGTGGCGGGGCGTGGCGGGGCGTGGCGGGGCGTGGCGGGGCGGGGCGTGGCGGGGCGTGGCGGGGCGTGGCGGGGCGTGGCGGGGCGTGGCGGGGCGGGGCGTGGCGGGGCGTGGCGGGGCGTGGCGGGGCGTGCCAGCAGGGTGGCAAGGCCGAGGCGGGGGCGTCCCGAACGACACGCATGCTGGCACCTGCCGCGGACCACTATTGCAGTTGCACTCCGGCATGTTGTGTCATATTTTGCACTCGTCCAGCGCGTGGTGTGGTGTGTGTGAGAGAGAGGGATAGCGATACTGTGTCTGTCTGCGAGTGTGTGATCTACGCTGATCCGCCAAGTATGCCAAGTATAAGCCTCCTCGGCCGAGTCCAGAGCGTCATTATAATTTCGCGGTAAACTTGACATTTCGAAAGTAAGGCGAGCTAACGCCAACTCCACGGCATAGACACATTTGGACTGGATGCGAACGCCGCGACGAATAGGCGCTCTGCTTTCGAACCCTTTTCCATCGCCAAGTGGAGCGATGCTGCCATAGGTCACGCTCAGGTCACATTCAGGCCGCGGAGGGCACGTGCGGTGTCACGCAGCGCACCTTATGGCTGTGGCTTTGCATTGTATTCCACGGAAAGTTTCGGGGAAACTAATTATTATTCCAAAGCAAAGAAGGCGGGCTGAGGGCAGGGCTCCTGGTGGGGCGCGGCCCGCTTTGGTGTCACTCGGTGCGATCTGATGCCAAGAACGAGTCACCGTGGGCCATGCGAGTTCAGCGACCGCACCGCGCAATGGCACACGGACCGCGCACCGCACCGCTCCGCGCACTGACCACGGCCACGGCGTTTGGTTGGCAGCGCGCGCCACGGCGCCACAGCCCGGTGAGGCAACCCGCGGCTGTCGGGATCGTCCTGCAGGGGCAGCACGGGGGGGCTGCCGAACAGAGGCTGGAAACACTGCCATCCTTGGCTCCCATTCGAAACGCCCCATTGTGAGCTGCCCAGGCCCAGGCCCAGGCGGTGCGTGTTCGCGGTTGTTGCGGGGGAAATTAGTGCCCGCAGTCCGCGCGGTCCGCAGTCAGGGGCGTGGGAACATTTTTTCGTGGGTTCAAGGCGCCGTCGGAGTGGCAATCAGAGTGCGGGCGGTTGCACAGAGCGGTGTCGCCGTGGTGCGCCGTGGCCGTTGTCAAGGGACTGTCTCCGGTCGCCCCAGGTCGGCCCGGCCGGTCCGCTGCGGGCAAGCTAACCGCTCTGCATCGCCCTACTCGTCCTGGGCTCGGTCATAAGCCTCCTAGCCGACCACGCCGCACTGACCCCTCTCTCCTCTCCCAGGACTCCCCCGCGACTGCAGTCACCGATCGAAGCCGCCAAAGGTATGCGCTCCCACGAGCCTGACAGCCCACCACGATGATAGTTGGTAACTTACAACTCGTTGTTTTTGTTCTTTCAACACTTACGTGAGTCCGGACAGCGCGTTGAGCAGGGTGCTCTTCCCCGCCCCCGACGGCCCCAGGATGGCGGACAGCTCGCCGCTCTTGAAGCGCCCCGACACATCCTTCAGGATGACGGGCTTGTCGCCTGTGGACAGAAAGAAGGTCTTCCTCAGTCGGGGTGGGTCAGAGAGGCGTGGATGGCAAGGGATTCAGTCCTCCGGTGCCTGGCCCGCTCAGCCGGAAAGCGGGTTGTCTCTCTTTGCAGCATTTGCTTTGAGTGACGGTGCGTGCCGCGGTCGCCGCAGTCGCACGCTTTTCCTTTCGTCGTCCAGGGTTGTTAACGTTAAATTAACGGTTAACGGCGTTACGACGTTAACGTTAAAGTTAATTTAACGTTAACGGTAACTCGTTAAACATTCGGATAGTCCGTAACGTTAACGCGTAAACGTTACGCGACCCCTGTAACTTTTAACGACGTTAAAGTTAAATTACGGCACTAATTATGCAAAATATTCGGTCTAAAAATGACTTGGAAGAGATTTTGACATGCATTTGGGTCAACTAAACCTCCTTATTTCCGTATTTTAACAGTCAAAAATTAACATGACTCATTTCTTAAATCGTCCCACAGAGGCATTTTTGGTAGATTTAGTAAACAAACAGAATTTTTCATCGTTTAAGTAGAAGCAGGGTTAACTTTAACGGGCGTTAAACGTTACGCGTAACGTTAACGCGTTAAACTTTTGCTGATACCCGTAACTTTAACGCGGTAACGTTACGGGTCTCTTGGTTAACGTGTAACTTAACGCGTTACGTTTTAGATTTAACGTTAACAACCCTGGTGGTGTCGTTTCCGACGCGTTGCACTTCCTGCCACTTGCATCACCAAAGTTCACAGGGTGACGGTGAGACGTCCAACCAAAATGCACGCATGCACAAAACATATCACCTAAATTAGTCTTACAACAAAAATGTATGGACTAGAAGGGTGATACTCCAATGAATGGCCGAAAAAAGCAGACATCAATGAGACTTGTTTTCCATTTTGAATTTATCAGCCTTCATCGATGACCCAATAAAGTATCACCCTTTTTCGGTCTTACAATTTAACGGGTCTTTTTGTTGCGCCAACAGATTGTTAGTTTTACCAACAAAATTTTCGTTACTGGTACACATTTTTTCGGTTATCACGGAAATAAAGTGGGTGAACTATAATTCCTTTTTTCCGTGTTCAACTCGCGGCCTCGGAGTCGCACGGTGAAAACGGAACCTGGTTTTCCCAGGAAGCCAATGGTGAAGGTATAGGCGATTTCCAGGAAGTTCCTGGGAAAACCAGGAACCGGTTTTACCGTGCGTAGACGAAAATTGGCCCTTTTTTTTCATTGGCCGGCCTGTCGAAAATGTCATGAAGCCACCGATGGGGAGTGAGATTAGCGCAGAGAGGTGTTGCGCGCCGTGTTGCGTGCGTCAGAATGTCGTTCCCATGGCTGACTGCAGCTGCCATGGCCAATGGCCCGCGGCCCAGGGCCCACCGTTGGCCCTGGCTGAGCCTCCAAATTAATGCAGCAATAATTTACAGCTCCACCAAGTGCAGTCCGAACGGGTCTCCTATGCGGCCCGCAACGCCCCGCTCCGAACGGCTCCGAACGGCCAAACCGTTTCGACACGCGTCCAGCCGAGTCCAGCCTCACCGCCCGGGGCGCTGCATCGCGACACGGCTGCCATTGGCAACAAAGTAGTAACGCACGAAGAGTAATGCCGCTTTGAGCGGTGTCGGCGTGTGCGTGCTAGCGCGCAGCTGGACGTGGGAAAAATGGCCGCTGATGTGTCCGTTTGTCTTGGTCCGATGATTTTGCGACGACAGTAAGGGTACAATTTTGATCATGAGAAGGCAAAGCAAAGTCGTTAGTGGCGCCGCCGCGGGACGGACGGACGGACGGACGGACAGGCGGACGGGTCGTCGGCAGCCCGTGAAGGCGGCAAAGGCGGGAACAGCGTTAAACTGTCCGGCCAACGCTGTTTCCCTGTGCGTGTGTCGCGTCCAAGTAGAGCTGCCCGCTGCCCCGTGCTGCGCGGCGCTACGCGGCGCTAGGTGTCGCAACGAGTGAAATTCACACGAAGGGGCCGAAGGGGGACGGGGACAGCGAAATGAGTGTCTCCGCGTAACCATCTTCCCAGCGGACCGCGTCCCGGCCCCGGCCCGGCCCCGGCTAGGGCGTCCCTGCCGTCCGAGCTGCCGTGCCGTCCCAGGGAAGAAGGGGTCCGTGGAACGCGAGCGCGGCCGCGCGCCGGCAGTTCAACTCCCCGTCGCCGGGCACCTTGGTCACCCTGCGTGTGGCACACGCCGTGTGCCCATGGGCCAGTGGCCCCACCCACACGCCCTAAATACGTAAAGACTAATAATCGAACAAAAGTCTTGACGTCTTCACTTTGGTTCTCTATGCACACAATTTATTACAAAAGTTACACCTGTATGTAGATGACAATACTTGAGTACAATAAATAGAGGGAAATTTGCATTTTGTGAGCATCTAAGTTGTTCCAACGTGCCCAAGGCCAAGCATGGCCTGAACTGTGCTTTACAAAGCTTGACATACACAAACGCACAGCATCGGTCGAGGCGTGGCCAAGCTCTCTTCTCGATTGTGTACACTTAATTATTGAAGACTGCAGTCGATTCTGCAAATAAAAATCCCTATTTTGCGGAGTGGCTGATCAAGAGGCGGCCCTATGAGGGGGAGAGGGGCAAAGTGGCGCTGTTTGCATACTTACAGCGCCAGTTATGGATATTTCCTACTTTTTAAGTGGTTATAAGAATGCCCCCCCCCCTTTTCTGTATCCACTCATGATGTTGGGTGTTGAGGCTGGGATGCCGGGCTGATTGCACTTGATTACAGCCAGCCCTTCTACACACGATTGCGCGAGTGGCCGCGCAGGAGGCAGGAGGTAGCCCCTCGGCATCGGTCCGCCTCGGTCCGAGCGTCTGGCTTTTTGGTCCTGCGGGAGGCCCGAGGGTACTAATCTCTAAGTCCACAAGACTTTGTCGGAAGCAGGCTTTGGCTGAGTGACTGAACAGAACCGGGGCCACTGAACGGACACAAGAATATACCAAAACCGCAGCGGTGTGGCCGGATATGGCTTTTTAGTCCGCATAGTGTCACCTCCCAGTCATATCGGTAGCAAGGCCGCGTTATCGGAATCCGTTATAGCCACGATTCCACCCCAAACTACTTCGAAAACATGTGTACAACAAAATTCAAATGCGGAAAAAAAATTTATTAAAATTTTTAAAAAATCAACAAATGGCACAAAATTAGAACAATTATATAACAGAATACTGACGCCTTGCTTCTGTTTCTAAGTTCCAGGAGCCCCGTCCGTTGCTCTTGCCCGATGTTTCGATGAAAAGACAGACGCAAGTTCGTCCTTCAGCGGCAAAGTCAAGAGGGAGGCCAGGGCCTTAGACCAGGGAGGCACGGAGACGCGCTGATCACCCCAATTACTCCAACCCTAATCCCGTCGAGGCGCAAGCGCATTTTGGCGTCCGGGTCCCCATCTCCGGGCGGCGGGCGGCCCGGGTCCAGCGAGGTAATATTAGGCGCGACCGCAACGCCGTGCAACGCCGCGCAACGCCGCGCAACGCCGCGCAACGCACTCCGGGCCCCAAGGCCCCACTGGCCCGGCCCCGCCCCTCAGGGCGATGACCGGAGGCGCATCATTTTGCCAACTGAATTGTAAATTTAAGTACGCCTTCTTCAACCGGTGCATCCGGACCATCTTGACGAGTGAACTTTTTACGATCCTACCCAGCAGGTTGATAGCCTCGTTGATAGCACAACTGCTGTCGCGAAAAAAGCACAGTAAATGTTAAAGTAAAGTAACGCTCCTCGTTTGACCGAACGTTCACTCCATTTTCCTGAGGTACGCCTGCGTTAATTTGTGAGAAATTCCTTTTACAGTGCAGCGAGGGGGCGTCGCCCAATAAAAGCCTCAGGCGTTGGACCACGTGCCGCGCGTTGCGTGCCCTGGGCGTTGGGTGCGGTGCGGGGCCGCGGGGCGTTGCGCTGGGCATGGCCAGGCATGGCGCCCCCGACACGCATCCTAGTGCGATGAGTAATATCGGCGGCCCGGATGACGGTGGGCTGGCCCTGTCGCGTCCTTGCAGGTCGGCATTCAAGGTGAGGAGTGAACCACCAGTGTACTCATGTGTACCAATTCACCCGTACTCAGACTACTCAAAAGTTTAAAAAGGGCGAAATTCTTTAGTTTTTCGCCTAATTTGGTGTTGAATGCCGTTTATAACGCCAAATAAAGCCTTTAAACGTTTACAAAAGTGAAATTTATGAGTAAGGTGTACTCACCCGTACTCATGTACTAATATAGAGGTAATATAGAGGCAAAATTGTGGTATTACACAAGTAATATACGGTAATATATAGGAAATATACAAGTAACATAGCCACCGCGTACGAGGTAATAAATGTGTTGTCGACCCCTCGCATGTACTCATGTGTACACCAGAACGAGGAGTGATTCACCCCTCGCTTCAAGGTCGGCCCTCAAGGTCGAGCCTGGCGGCTAATCACGCTGTGTGTTTCCGACCTGCCTTCGACGTTTTCGGGCGACCAAAAAATTGCCCCGTCGAGCGCCTCGGGTGGCCCAGGCCGACATTCTAATCAAATTGGGTCAGTCAGACTCGTTGCGCTCCATGATAAATGCGACATAATGTACCCAGCAAGAAAGTCACGGCGGCCAAAGAACCGCGAAGCAATGTCAAACCGCCGTCCTGGTGACCGGGTCGTTGTCCAGCGGGGTCAGCTTTGTACAGCAACCACATCGGAAACCAAACACTGCTCCTGCTCCCAGTCCTTCGTTTGCGTGCACTTGTCTTTCACAAATTTTATTTCCGAAATATCGCTGATTTTCAGCGGATACTTAAAACAGGAAAGAATACAAAAAATACTGATATTAAGTAATTGTACTTCAGCCGAGGAGGGAACACACGGTCACGAGTAGGAAAAATACGTGGCCGAGGGCAAACATCGTAGAAATCGCGTACATTCCAGCACACTCTCACAAGTATTGTACACAAAATGGTACAGTGGGTGACAATGGGTCGGTCACCCTCCCAGTGAGCAGGTTGGCGCCGCGACATTGGCGCTCCAGGTCTTGGCACGTCTTTGTTTGCCTGTTTGTGGTCACAACGTAGTGGCCACGCAGAAGTCGTGTGAATTTCCTGTCATTCCGGTTTTTTGCACGACTTTTCTTACAAAACTCATTGTACGCGCCAATCCACAGTACATTCACGCCAGATAAAGGCGTGACGCACACGTCATGTCGATTTACGGCGCGAATTTCCTGTCACGCCAACTTTAGGCGTGACTTTTTGTCGCGCCATAATTTGGCCATGTGTCCGACTATTCAATTTTCAGTGTAGTGGCCTCCGACGCTTGTAACGCCTAGGAGGTAGGCCACCGGCCGTTACGCTAAACACAGGTGTGGAGATGGTGGCCTACCTCGCCCCTGCCTTCTTAAGGGGCAAGGTAGACCACCATCCGCGTTGCATGACAGACCGGTGGCCTACCCCAACATTACCATTACCATTAAGGGCTAGACCACACATAATCGTAGGCGATATGCACAGGCGGGCGGCCGGGCGGCCGCTAAACCATCATGGGAAAATCGAAGTTATTGACAGCTCTAATCGTCCCAACCTACCCGTTGTCGAGATCACTCTTAAAAGACAAAGTTGCAGGGCGGCCATGAAAATATATGGCCGAAATAAATCCCCATGTTGAGAGCCGTCAAACTGGCGCTACCAGTCGCTTTTGCAGCCTTCTCTTGTACGCACTTAAACGACGGATGCGATGGGATGCCGGGAGATTTCGACTTGCAAGACTTAGTCCACGCTGTCTAGGGATGTGCGAATAGTTCGTTATCGAATCGAATCAGCCCTGATTCGGGGGACATACCGATGAAAAAGGACTTTACATAATTTTGCAGTCTCCATTTTTGACAGCACCCCGAAAAGAAAGAGCCCTTTGGGCCGTTTCATCCTTGCCGCTCAAGGGATGCAAGTGGAACCTCTGTGGAGTTGCGACAACGGGTCCTTCCTCCCTCGTGTGCCAGGCCAGGCCAGGCCATGCAGGGCGTCCTTACCGCGCAGCTTCCAGGACTGCGGCGTGTACGACAGGTTGTGGAAACCGACGTCCATGGTGGCGGTGGGGCGCGGCGCTGCACTTGAGTCACTCACACACGCATCCCGTCGCGGTGGTCGCGGCACAAGGCGGGCACAAGGCGGCACGTCGCCCTGGTCAGGGGCCAGGCATCGGGGCGTCACCGGCGGCGCACGCGGCGCGGTCGGAGGGCAGCGGCGGCAGGCGTCGCCGGTCACAACCCGTCACAACACGGCGCGGCGAGGGCGGTCCACGACTGGCGGCGGCGGCGGGGCGGCGTGGCTGACTGGCACGGCCAACGGCACGACGGACGGAACACCCCCCCCCCCTCCCCGCCAGACGGCGCTGGGCACGCTGGGGGAGCGGACGCCGGGCGGCCTGGCTGGGGCCTCTAGGGTGGCGGGGCGGTGGGGGCGGTGGGAGGAGAAAGGGTGCCCCCTCGCCCCCTCCGTCCCCGCGCAGGTACGCCGTTTCCATGACAACACGGCGGCTGGATGAACCGAGGATGAACCACAGGACAGGGCGAAAGCAATATTCTGAGTGAGCCCCCCCCTCAAAAAACACTCCGCCTCAACCGCCTCAGGCACACAGCATTGCGGTCGCCTGGGCTGACCAGGCTGGACGCAACCATTACGAGCAGTGCTGCTCAATTAGATGCCGTTCCGAAATTCGCTCAGTATAAGTACAAGTACTGTGAGAACACTCGAAGACACCGACAACGGACACGTGCTGTCGCGTGGCCGGTCTGTAGGGGCGAAGAAGACGATGGACAGAGACAGAGCGTCGAAACGACACTCCGGTATCGGTCCCGATCGGTCCGCAGCGAGTTTCAAAGGCGTCTCGTGCCTCGGCCGGAAAAATCATTGTCTATTTTCGTGATCGAGCGAACAGGGAAACGCGATTTACATGCGACTGACTCAACCAGAGCGCGTCCAGCGCGAGACTCGGGTCTCGTGGCTCCCAGGCCTGTCGGCTGGACTTCCTGGAGCTCCTGGAGTGAAGAGACTCTACGCACGGATTCAAGGTCACCCGGCATTTGGAATAGCAAGCTGCCTTCGTTTTCTCTACCACCTCTTTGGTGCCGAGAATGGACCCACGAACTCGCAAAGCGTTCACTATTTGCGTCCACGCGGTAGAACTAAACTAAGGGAATCAAATTCTCTAGAGGACGGTTAGCTTGCACTCACACAGCACATAGTCAGTACAGTTCTCCGGGTCATTGAGACGAGTCTGCAAAATTGTCCAAAGTTGTTTGGGTCCTTGACAGGTCAGAAACACTGGCTGAACCATGTGTGTAGCTGGTGTGTACTACTTGCACTGTCGACGAGTGTCGGTGTGTGCCGCCGCTCCGTTCCACACGCATCCGCTGGACGTGGACTGCATGGAGCAGCCAGGTGCGATACAAGCGTTTCGCCAGCAGCACGCGCATCCAGGCCGCACCAGCCACACCGTGCCACGCCCCGCTGCAGTTAATAAGCAGGCTGTCCTTTTCTCTCTCTCTCTCTCTCCTTCCTCGGTGGCGGCATGTTCGGCAACAGCTGAGCGAAAGGCCCCCGCCCTCTTCAGGCAAGGCATCGCATTACGTCCCACAGGAGCCACCTCTCCTCCACGCTGTGGCGCGCGCTGTGCCAGGCTGCAGATAACTGCGGATACGCGGGGCCACGGTCCTGGCTAGGGAGCCACGTCCGCGAACACCCCTCTTCGGCTTGGACTAGGGTAGGTTAGGCGCCCAGGGTGGCAATATGTGCCAGAGTTTCAGCCTGCAAAGCAAAAAATATTGCGACTCGGTCCTTCCCTAGCTCTCCACTGGGTCCACACCTGTCTCTGCATATGGTTCTCGTAGTGGGTGAAAATATTGTTTGCCATAGGCGGACCCAGCGCCGGCCCTTGGAGGGGCCTTAGCGCGGAGGGGCTCCACGTATTGCCTACTCACAGGGACAAAGCGTGGACTTCTGCCTCCTGGGAAGGGGAAATTATCCCCCCCCCCGGCAGCTACTTGACTAGGCCTCTTAGCTGATAAACTACCTTAAAATCCATTAGAATCAGCCTCTGTGGTGGGAAAGGGATATTTGGTGAATCGAATTTACTAATCCGAATCGTCAGTTCTACTCGTAGTTTCATTAGAACGACAGCAACAAGCACCGCAAGCGGCACAAACCATTGGCCTCTGCCCTGCCCCCACCCCCCGGCCTCGGCAGGTGCGTTGCGGATTCGGAGACTGCTCATGCGATCGGAAACGGATATGAGGCGTCTGAAGGCAGTGTGGATTGCCATCGCTGCAATGTCCGCCCTATACTGCAACGCACGGACATGGTCTGAGCGCGAGGAGCAGACTGTCGTTTAAGGTCAGTGTCGGCTGGTGTCCACTCGCACGCGCGCAGAATGAGAAGAGATCTAGAATCGACCAGGGACGAAATCAGCTGTTTGGCCATTCTTTCTGGGGTACTATTTGTGACATAAAGTGTGCAGACCCCCCCCCCCCAAAAAAAAAAAAAAAAATGCTTTAGTGGTGTAAATTTTATAGTTTGAGAATTGGAAATCAGTGTTTGGACAAGAAGACTTCACAAAGCAGAGCAAAAGTGTTTCTCTGTGTGCATAATGTGTGCTGTATTGGCAACTTTCAGCAATTATTGTAAGGAATTTTGTGAGAATTACTAAAATTATTTCAAACCCATTACCATATTTATTTTCTAACAACAAGAAGGTCTCAACGCTTTGAGATATTTTTCAATGTATACTCTTTCTCTGAAATTTTTTGCATTAAGTCTTGATACTCTGCTAAAATTTTATCAAAGTGAGTGCCCTGCAACTTCTCATAATCATCATTCTTCTTCTGCAGAGCGGATAACTCTGATTTTGCCTCTGTTACTAACATATCCACATTCTTCCTCAGCTCAGTGAAGGCATCAACAAGATGCCCATCTTCAAGATAGATTCCATTGACAATTTGGTCGTTCAAAGACCTGAAACAAATGTGAATCAGTTAAAATAGAAACAGCTTAGATGAATAATTCAGTAGCTAAATATAAAAGCATACCGTATATGTGTTTTTAAAATTTCACATCTTCTTTGGAATGCATCCACTCTGTTTGAATTAATGCGTTTAAAGCTATCAATCTTTACTTTTAAAAGATTACTTGAAACATTGTCTAACTCTTCCAAATAAGTCCCATTGACACAAATTTCTCGGTCAAGTTCCTGACGAAGTGACAGCAGTTCATGAGTATTCTTCTGTTCGGCACTGTTACTTGTATTGCAAGCAACTGGCCCGGAAACTTTTGACATAATATCTGAAAAGTTATAGACACAAAATTAAGAAAACTATAAAAAATGAAATAAATATACTGCGCAGATAGAAATATAAATACCTGAATATCTTTTATTTGCTGACAACAGTCTCTGGTGATCAAGACATATTTCTTCCTCTACAGCTTCTCGCAAATGTTGAATGTCAAGAGCTGTCAGGTCAATTGGTATCAATTCTTCCAAATGTTTTTCTGATATACCAAACACACCATCACAAGAATTCACTTCATTTGGAACAACATAATCTAATAAACCAATATGATCTAGAGCAGCATTAACTTTTTGGGCAGTCTGTGTTGGTAACCTATTTGGCTTTTTGGCAACAGTCACAACAGCATCCCATATAGTTTTTAGTCTTATGTACTTTTGCTGAGAAGCTCGCATTTTCTCCATAGCAAAAGATAGTTGCTCCAACTTTTCATGGGACACGCCTGAAATGAGAGAGAGGAGATTTAATCTGAGATTCTTACCACAAGTTATGCTATCACAAAAAATTATTGATTGAATTGATGAAAACAAATTAGGCTCTAACCAGACAAGCCAAGCTGCGAAGCAACACTAGCAATCATTTCTTCTTCCTCCGAAGATGACGATATAGGGGTAGAACTCAGTCCCACAGTGACGTCACCGACAGCATGAGGAACAAGGGTGTCTGAAGACTGGTTAACAGCAGCAGTAATGGAAGAATCTGCTTCTTCAATATCAGAGCCATAAGAAACCAGTGAAAGTGAGAGCCGCCCAGTGCCCTCTTCAGGTTCAGAGAGAGAGCTGTCCATGATGACACGAGGAGCAGAGCAGGCTTCAATCTGCAGAAAAGATGACGGTACAAGAGTGTGACTGAATCCACTTCAACCATGCTTCAACACTTATGGATTATTATTACTAGGGTAAATAGTAATGTGATTAGAGTACTATTACACTACAGTAAAACAATCATGAAACCAAACTTACTTCGAAACGACACCTCCTTTTCTTTCAAAACATTTCAAAACAAACGCTGCTGCCAACCATTCCTTGAACTTTGCCAAAACTTACCTAGTATGTAAATTCAAAAACTTTCCCACTTGGTAAAATTTCTTGAATAATAAGCAACATGCTGCAGGTTTGAAATTCCCCAATCCAAAACAGGCAAAGACTTTTTATCTGTCAAACGTGTGGATTCGTGAACATGTTGGTTATAGTTCGAAAAAGATGGCGCCACTAGAAGCGGTAGCGCTGAAATCCGAAATCTCGGATGTTTGTGATTGTGTGCTTCTATTCTAGTATCTGTTGCTGCTTATTTCGAGCTTTGAAATTCACGAACAACTATCAACATTTCTGCGTCTTTGTCTTGGCCATATTTTCATCATTTTCTGAAGACATTCATTTGTTTTTACGCTTATTCTACTCTCCTAAAAATATCGGCCCAAATCGTGTAGTAATGGAGGATGAAAGGTTGAGGTAGCTCGATGGTGGTGGTAAACAAACTAGAATTACTGAGCGTTTCACTTCATTATCTATTTCACTCTGCTAGGGTTTGCTGACCTAGGTAAGAATGCCTAGGCCAGACTCTTCAAGGCATCAAAAGGCACTCTACAGAGTGCCCGTGCGTTGCGTAGAGGTGATAGTATGCTAGTGCCTACCGGTGTCTGAGGCGTCAGTTTTGCCGATGGCAATGCATCTCTATATCTTTACCGTGTACTCATTTTACGTTTATAATTTGCAAAATTAATCTTCCTTTTATTTTTGCATGGATGGTCTTTTGAAATTGACCCTCCTTGCCCATGTTGTGTTTTCAAATACTGGCATTTGGGGTTATGGTCTTCATTATATATGAGATTATGTCATTTAAATTTCAACTCGATTTTCCTCTATGTTAAATCTATAACACTAAATTTCCTTTTCAGATTGCCAGTAGTTCATTGCCAAAATGAGCGGTTTTAATAGTGATTCCACCTTTCAAGAGAGGCTCAGCATGAAAGATCCGGCCACAGCCAGTGCAAGAATATTTGTTGGGAGTATCCCCCATGACAACGTCTCCCGTCAAGATATAGAAGACCTGTTTGCTCAGTTTGGGAAGGTTACTGGTGTGTTAAATGGAACTTGTTCGGAAATTTGGGTAACTAATATGTAGGTTTTGTTTACATTTATCGTTTGAAATATTACAGGAGTTCTGTTGAACCGTGGATTTGGCTTTGTCCAGTTTGAAAATGAACGAGGAGCTTTGGATGCTATAAAAGAACCTGATATAATATTTAGAGGGAGAAGGCTTGGTAATATTTTTGTTTAGTCTTCTACTCCAGTATTTTTTTTTAAACTTGATGTAGCCAAATCATTTACATTCATAAGTGTGCTTCTTTTTATCTTTTTTCTTTAGATGTCAAACAAGCAAGAGTATTCAATAAGCCAGGGCAGAACTTTCGTGATGACAGGGACCGGGACAGGGACAGAGAACCATATTGGGATGAAGGAGACAGAGACAGAGAGAGAGGAAGAGTAGGTGACAGAGAGAGAGATCGTGATCGCGACCGTGACCGTGATCGCGACTTCAGAGATGACAGAGAAAGGGAGCCCTTCCGAGATAGGTCTCCTCTTGATGATCGCTCGAGGGAAAGGCGAGACGATAGAGATTGGAGACCAAGAGAAAGAGACCGGTAAAAGTTAAACTTTATGCCAATTTTTCTTTTATGGTAAGCTTTAAAGTTTATCTTATTAACAGTTTCCTTTTTTCACATTTTTTAGTTTCGATAACTTCCCAAAAGCTTCAGCCGATAGAGATCGCTTCTATGATACCACATCAAGAGACTCCAGTAGATATCGTGAAATGGATTTTCGAGATGCTAGACCTGCTGAGAGATTTAGGTAAAGTGGCATACTTATCTGGCCTATTACGATATGTGGTTTGTGCTCATACAAAGTCACTGTCATCCTTGTTACCTCTCAATAATTTTCTCCAATGTTTCAATGTTACAGTGCTCCTGTGCTTAGGGCAGAAATCATTGATTCCCGCAGCCTTCCCATCCAAACCCCGGGTATTGACAGAATAAATGATTGTGAAATCATTGTTATTAATAAGAAACAAACGTGAGTATTAACATGCTTCTGCAACAATAGTTGCTGGCTTTAGGGCATCTGGATTAACATTTCCCTATATTTATCTTATCTAGGCGTTATGCTGAAACTGTTGAAGAGAGATTGAAAATGCTTGGGTTGACTGTTGATATTTTGTATCCCAATGGGGATGTGCAAATGTCCCGTCTTCTGGGAAATATAAGTAGCCGTGGAACACTGTATGCCATTATTATAGAACCAATCAATGAAGAACATGATTCACTCACGGTCAACATCCTCCATGGAACTCCTGAGGGTAAGACTCTGTTTTAGAAATCGGTATTTAATGCTGGCCTCTTATATCCTATTCCTATTGTAAATTTGAGTAAATATCTATACAGCTCATCGAAACATGCCATTGAAGGATGCAATAACCCTCATAAGTCGTAATTTTGAAGACTACAAATTATCGCAGCCTGGCAGAAATGAAAAGACAGCTGTACTTCCTGCTCCAGTTGTAACCATACCAGTGGTGGGTGCTGCTGCCCTTGTGCAAGAGAAACATCCAGATGCAATCCAGGTATGCAACACTTGCTCTCTTTTCTATGGGTCTCTTGAGATGACTTGAGTTGTCGGCTGGAATGGCGCCCACGGGGCTCGGCTTAAAGAGACTCGGCATCCGCTGCCTTTGTTAGAACTCTAATGGCTGCCACCTGTTTGCCCATCAATCGCGATCACTACTCTGTTCAGCAGGGTTTGCTGACATGCAATTAATTATAAATAGTTCTTGGTTCTGGGTGCCCTCTCTCACCCTTTTTAACTATCAAAAAGAATATTTTTTCAATGTTTTTTGAAATTTTTAACCTTATGTAACATATATCTTTTCTTTTTTACAGACTCTTCTGAATTTACTATCAGAAAATTGCCCACTCACTGTTTTACAGTATGACAAAGTGATAGCCTATCTCACAAGTAAACGAGAGCTTCAGGTTCGAATAGAACTTGGTGAAAGTGACACCAGTGCTGCTCCTCCCATTGTCACTCGAGGTTTGTGATGACCCGACTCATCTATGGCTTGATTTCTTTTTGCTTTAATAAAATCTGTGTTCATATTTGTTCTCTCACAGAGTCTCCAACTGTAGATAAACAGGCAGAACTTCAAAATCGAATTCTGAGCATATTGAGTGCAAAGGCAACCCCTGTGGTAGCCTCAGCTCCATCTGTACCCGTTGCAGCTGCAGCTCCAGTTGCAGCTCCACCAGTACCCATCCTAACTCCAGCAGCCACCACAGTCATGTCGTCAGCTGCATCAATGTCCTCAATTTCTGTTTCGGCTAATTTAACACAAGCAACACCTTCATCTGTGCCAACTGGTGCATGGAATCCATCGAAACCATCAGACTCAGCAACGCCCATTTTAAGTGATCCAAATGTTCAAAAAGCTTTGGACAGCCTCATGCAAGGTAATTTGTTACAGAGGCTTGTTGGATCAAGTGCCAATTCACCTTCAGTTTCACCAACAACCACAACCATGTCCTCTAGCCTTCCATCTGGGCCATTATTTAATAACTTTGGTAATGCAAACTCTAATTCAAACCATGTAGGTGGGCGTAGATTTTAAATTGATTATTAAAAAAGTAAGTCACATATGAAAGCTTATGATGCTGCACTCAAATTTCAACCCTAGTTCCTGTATTGTATTTGACAAAACTTTCAATCACTGAATTCAAGTTGTATATGGGGTTTTGTTAGCTTTTTTCTTCTAATCAAGAGTTTAAATTTGAGTTTTACTCAAAGACAGCATCTGTAGTTCGGGGACAGAATCAGTGCAACTTTAATGTGTGCACCTAATCAGGCATCACATTTTTGAGGGTTTGATCATAGACAACCAACTATTGGTTGGTTGTCTATAGTTTGATTGATTAAAGAGTCCACTACTTCATTTTTAAATTATTTTTCAAAAAAATGAGAAAAGAAAGGTTGCATTAGATTTGATTGTTTAACGGCTTTCTGTACCACAAATTTAATTTTTATAGTTGCTATGACATTGCTCCTCTTATAATGTTTCCCTCAGCTGTGTGTGGTGTTTGTTCATATTTGGTTCTCCTTCAGTTAGAATTTTAATGTCTTCAAAATAATGAAATACTACTTTGTTCTTGAAACACTGAAGAAAGAGAGAACAGCTTTTCCAAATTGAAGGATAGATTGTGTTGTGCACTGTTGTGATGCATATTGAGTTCTAACAGAACTTCATACATTAAGTATTGATTTTTATGTATGCCTGACTTGTTTCAATCGACATTTATTAATCACCTAATTACACAACACACAACTACAAATTTCTTTTGTTTCTTTGTACGTTTGACAATGGGTGCCCATTACAATGTCTAGACTTCCCTAGGTTTTGTCCCTTGGTTGCCTATTATGAATAAATACTGAATGCTTTGTGTTTGTGAGACTGCCTTGATCTTGATGAGCGGACAGAATTAGCACTGATTAAAATTTTATGACATGGTGGGGAATTTTGATTCATGGTTCTTACCTATCCTTCCTGAAACAGTTGAAATTGAACAAATGAGCTAAAGATCAAGAGCAACAAGGCCAAATAAAACAGAATTTATTTACAAAATCAGCAGTCTACAAATTGAACAGCTCAAAACTCCAGCATATGAATCAGACTGGTCTAACAGAACATCAGAATTTGCTACAACTCTTCAGCCTTCTTGGCTGCCCTTTTAGCTTCCTCTTCTAACAATTTTTTCTTTTGATACTCAAATTTAGCAGCCTTTTCCTCAGCTAGTTTCTCTTTCTTGGAGGTTTTCTTAGACAGTTTCTCTTTTTCCTTCAGCTGCCTTGCTCTTTCCTTCAGCTCTAATCTAAACTTCTCGTCTCGCTCATTCACAGTATAATTGAAATGAAGTCGAACTTCTTCGATCAAGCGAGTCTTGAATGCCTGCAAACCAATCATCCAAGAAAGTTAGAAAACTTCAAAAAAGGAATGTAATGCAACTTTGCAAATTAAAATTTTACCTTGGCAGCTTCGGTATCTGCTCTGTGTTTTTCTTGTCTCTGTATGAACTCCTCTTTCAATTTCAACATCTTTTTGACATTTTCAGTTATTTGTTTATCTCTGAAAAGTAATAGAAATTGTGTTTGTTTGACATTGCATGACAAATTAGAAGCAAAACATTTGTAGATAGTATGTCTTACCTCTCCATCCTTTCCTCCTCTAATTGCTTCTTTTTAGCTCTTTCACGCTCAGCAACTTCAGCGATAGTGTAGGGGTAGGCAACCGATTCATATTCTTTCTTGTCCTCCAATTCATATTTAGAAGGCCAGCATATAGAGGGGTTTACTCCAGACTCGTAGCCATACCGACCAAACATCTTCTTATTGTATCGCACAGTGAACTCATGGGGAAGAGTTTTTTCTTCCGATGGTAGCACGCGGTTGGCAATGTTTCTGTGAGACGGTCGCAGCCCAGATATATCTCTTATTTTCTGTATCCTTTCATCCTCTGCAGATGGATCATCCTCTTCTCCAAGCAAAATGGAATCTTGAATTGGTGCATCTGTCTTAGCCCCTCGAGTCTGCTGCTTTTGAGTGCACGGGAAATCAATAAATCCTCTGTTTCCCAGGAAAAAAATTCGACCACTTTCTTGGGATAGTGATGGAATCCAAGACACGAGGCATCTAAAGGACGGCATTGTAAACCAAAACTAACGAATTCGGACAGATGAAGCGCCGCATAACCTCCACGAGAACTGCTTCTGCTTCTTCTGCTTAGCCCTACTACCTATTTCTCATACAGACGAAGGAGAAAATTCTCATACCACTATTTGCAGGATTCGGGCTCTTGTTGTGTCTTGTCTGCTAGGTTATCCTCCCTTTCAACTTTTAATTTCTTCTCCAATTCAAATCGTCACATGGTTTCCTCTTCACGATAAGATCAATTAATGCTTCCTTGTCTCAATTTTAATTCAAGTTATGGCAGTTCCGATGTCAAAGCAAGTCTGCAGTGTACTTTGTAAGGCGGTACTTAGGAAAGAGGTTCCCCTAAGGTTAGGTCCTCTCAGTAATTTTTTCCCCAGTCAAGTTAGAAAGTCCAGTTCCTACAGAGCAGCTGTTCTGAAAGAATTAAAGAAACCTTTAGTAATAGAAACTGTAAATGCTCCAAAAAAGATAAAAAAAGATGAAGTAAGTTGCTTTGTAAATGTCTTTTGCTTTGCAGTGATACATCTCTTAACTGGTTGTCTCGTTTCAGATAAGGGTGAAGGTGGTGAACTGTGCAGTCAATGCTAGCGATATTATGATATGCGATGGAGAAAATGAGTCTCAACTTAAGCTTCCATTCACCCCTGGATTTGAGATAGCTGGTGAAATATTGGAAGCTGGTAGTGAGGCTGCTGCAGAGGGCTTCAATGTTGGTGATCGTATTGTCGGTTTAAACAAGGATAATCATGGAGGTTTTGCAGAGCAGTGTGTCATATCTATGAAAGTGAGTATGTTTGTGACGATTTGCAATTCTGTATTAATATGACGAAGCTATTAATCTAGTCTTCTTCAATAACTCTTTTAATTTTCAATTTATAGGATGCTTGGCAAGCACCTTCATCTGTTAGCTTCAAAAAATGTGTCTCTCTGCCAGACAGCTATGCAACAGCCTTGATTGGTCTTGCAAGAAGAGCGCACTTAAAGGAAGGAGACTCTGTACTAATTACTGCTGCTGCTGGAGGTTTGGGGCTTGCGGCAGTTGACATAGCTTCTCATGTTTATCGTGCTAAGGTATACTATAATGTTGATGTTGGCTAAGTCTCCCATCTTTAAAGAGAAATTTTAATGAATTATAATATACTGTTTCATCACAGCACTGATATTCAAATGTACTATTTCTGCTGAAGGTTGTTGGTGTGTGCAGTACATCTGATAAGTCGTCACTAGTTAGAGAGAAAGGCGCCTGGTCAGCTTTAGTGTTCAACCCACATGATTTAGAGGTTACTGTCAAGGATGTCAGCAAGGGGAAGGGAATGAAAGTAGTATTTGATGCTGTGGGTGGAGATGTCTTCACTGCTGCCCTTAAAACGTGAGCAACCGTCATCATACTATATATTTGTTATGGTTGAAGTTTCTTCCTAATTTACCAAGTTTCTTCTTCAGTGAGGTGGTTGTTTTTGGTCCTTTTAAATGCTTTGTCTTTTCATTCAGTGTTGCCCATGAAGGGACTGTGATAGTGGCAGGATTTGCCTCTCGGCAGGTGCCTCAGCTTCAGCTCAGTGAGCTCCTGCAAGGATCCTACAGCATCTTGGGTGTATCTCTATCGTACTACAGGACTAAGGACCCTGAAGTCTACAGGTATGTCTCCCACATTTTTTACGGCAAAGTTGGAAACAAGTGACAGTATAATCTTACATGTTTTGTGTAACTTCTAGGGATACCGTTCAGGATGTTCTCGACATGTGTGAACAAGGATTGATTAGCCCGCACATCTCTGAAGACTTTGACCTTGAAAAAGTTAATGAGGCCATGGAATACATGAGAGCTAGAAAGTCATCTGGGAAAGTTGTCATTAACATCTGTGATTCTTAAACTATTATCTGTAAAAATTAAATTATTATTCTAGAAATAGTGAACATCTGAAGTTATAGATTTTTAGCTAGCTTTCTGAGATTTATTTCCTGTTCATTACTAACTTATTCCATTATCATTTTACTTATTACTTATTTACACCATTATATGATGATGAGGCTATGCATCAGTGTGAAAGCCGTGTTCCAGCATTGATGGATGGTAAATGTCTAGTTGCATTTTATTCCTGGGGCACTTTCAGTCTTTCTTTTACTGCAAATACTGTATCTGAGAATGTCTTTCGTGTTTTGCTCTTTTGTGCACTGTATCTGGAGGGCTTGTGATCCTGTCTTTGCTAATAAACTAACAATTGAAAGAAATTGTGGTCTAATCGTCTCCACTTCCCTGAATCCAACTGGTCCCATCAGGGGCGACGGGGCGTGACGAAGGGGGTGGCGAAGGGAAGGCCCACCTGCTTCAGTTATTCTGTTACCGGTGACGCCATCTCTCGGCGGCGAAACGAGGCTCAGGACATCCACCTATACTCTCCTTGACTTTCCGGAACCATGCCTGCAAAAATATAGGACGGAAAAAACCCACAGACGGTCCGGGCAATGATTGATCAGACTCATTCCGTACCTTTCTGTGTTCGAGCGGGAAGGAGAAAATCATAAACTTGGTGCTCACGATGGAGGCCGTGGTCTAGTTTGGCTGGTTTGGCACGCCACATCCGTTGGGTGTCGCCTGCCAGCAGAAGTGACAGATGCTGACTACAGCCTAAATCTTCAATGGCGACTAGAGCGCTACATCAATGTAGGGCTTTCTGGCGACGGCGACAGGTGCGCTTAGGCAGCCGTCTTTCTGCGGTGCCGTCCGGGATGCCTATCCTCGCATTGCAAGGCGCTCGGCGCTCTCGCCAGCGCGGCTTGCGCGGCCGCACCACCATCGCCGCGTGCGAAAGAGAGAGGGAGGGGAGAGCGGCGTGGCCGCGGTGCCTCGCGTGTGGCCTATCCTCGAATTCGCGGGCGCTCCTCCGCGCCTTTCACCTTTCACGACACAAGCGAAGGCTGCGAAGGCGAACGGGCGCGCGGCACCACGTGGCCCCGCACGCTGGCGGCTTTTGTGCACGCGCGTTTTCTGGTCTTGCCGCGGAGTGTACCCAGTGCATCCAACCTGCGCCTCGTTCAAAGATGCGCGGTCACCTCGGCCCCCACCAAACAGCAAACCGCGAGAAAGACGATTCCTTTGCGAAGCGCGCCAAATCCAACATAAAGAGTTCATTCCTTTCAACCTGGAGGCAGAAAAATTAGGGTCATAGGAGGACTAGGATCGCACTGAGTTTTAGTTTTACACACGGTAATTCATCCCGAAAAGTGGCCAAATCACTCTTTGTGCCCTAGAACAATTTTCGTCGACGACGAAAGGACGTTGCGGTGATTCGAAAAGCGAGCCTTGCCACCCCAGACGGCGGGAAGCGGAGTCTAGCGGAGTCGAGTGATCTCATCCTAGTTCCGGCGACTGCCGCCAGAGCACGCCACTGTAGCCAACCCCATCACGCGGCATCACGCGCCTAGGCTGCCTAGTTCCCGCCGTGACGCACAGATAGCGCCAGGGACCCTTGGTCTTCCAGCTGTCACCTTCCCCGTTTGGTTACCAAAGCACTCACAGAAATTCGTAAATTTTTCTGCTCGACCTGCACGGGGTTGGTGGTACGAGCAGTCAGTCGCGACTACACCGCAGAGTGACCGCGCCGAGTACGCACCTCTAGGAGACATATAAAAATGCATCCTCAATTTTAACGCTGGGGATTTTCTAATTTTGTAGAAGAAAATGTCCCCTCCCCCTTTTCCCACTTCTTGAAAAAATTGCCATGCATGCAGCGACGACGTGTGTAATTTACAGAAGGCCCCCTAGTCGGTGTGCGGGTGGTGATAATTGCAGTGAGGGCTCGCTGCATGCGGGTGACGCAGGAAGTTTGTGTGTGTGTGTGTGCTTGCGTGCATGCGTGTGCGTGCCGTCGTGTAAATGGGAAAGGAATCGGAGGGGAAGGAGGGGAAGGACAAAATTCGTACGTAAAAGCGTTCCTCAAGATGCGACCGTACTGTCCATCGTCCGGTTAGGTGAGGTCAACTTCGTCACTCAGCGATTGCAGAGCACGCGATTTTGGGCGCAATATTGTAGCGCCGGTAAGCGAGGAGGCCCCGGCGGCGGTGCGCCCTGCCTGCCCTGCCTGGTGGGCGTCCGCCCATGCCGCCCTGCGCCCTGGCATCGCAAGCGACGCAAGTGCAGCGAGGACGGCTGGAACATTCTGAGGCCTGCACGATGCACGCGAGCCGCCCCAGCCGGTCCCCCCGACGCCAACGACGTCCTCAAGTCCGGCTGCACGGCGCTGCACGGCGCTGCAGCGCATGCATGCGGGCTGGCGCAGGCTGGCGACTGCTGCCGTGCAACGCGAGCTGCACACGCTGCTAGCGCTGCATGCGTCAAGATCCTCGGTTGCTCTGTCTCACTCTTTCTCTGTCGCACTCGGGCCACAGACGCGTCCCAAAGGCCCGTCCCGGCGCGCCTTGAGTTTTCACGTGACCGCGCGTTGACGCTTTCACTGTGGGCGTTGCTGGTTGCGTTTCACCTCGGCGGCAGCGCGGCAGCAGCCTCGGCTTAGCTTGCCATCGCATCGGGGCGCAGTTACAGTGATGGGCCAATTCCTCCCCATTAACCGCACCGAGGGTGGGGGACTGCTTCCAGTCCGCGTCGATCGCGTCGACGGAGGGAGCGAATCTCTCCGTGACAGTCCGTGACGCTCCCAGTGACATTTCCACTCCGTGACTCGTGTGCCACGCAAGTGCGTCAAGCAAGGTCAAGCGAGTGCTGAGAGAGAGAGAGAGAGAGAGAGAGAGAGAGAGAGAGAGAGAGAGAGAGAGAGAGAGAGAGAGAGAGAGAGAGAGAGAGTATCCTGGCTGGTCTGGCTGGTCTGGCCGCCACCACGACAGCCTCCATGGCCGCACGGAGCGCACGGTGCTCTGCCTGACCTCGGTCCACGCCAAGGCATAGCCAAGGACAGACGGACGGACGGACCAAGGAGGCAGCGCGCAGCAGCGCGGTCCTCTCGCCTCTCCTTCCCCTTCCTGCTCGCGCTGCAGCACGCTAAGCACGCTCTCCTCCACCTTCCCTAATCCGCCTCGCGCTGCCTCGCGCCCCCCGTCCGCGGGGCCGCTGCATCGCCGCCGCATCGCCGCCGCGCTCAGAGCGCTTCCCCCTTCCCCTCCCCTCCCCCGGCCGGCTTGCCCTTGACAAGGTGCATTCCAGCCGCCTGGCCCCCGCGCCCCCGCAGCCCCCGCGCCCCGCGTTGCGGCGTTGAGCTATCGGTTCAGAGTCAGTTCAAAATGTTCCGGGTTGCTGAAAATACTTGGGACGTTTCCGCGGTCCTGCTTGTCCGAGGCAGTCCGAGGCACCGAAGCCTGCGCCCGGGCTGTGTGCTGCGCGCGGCGAGGGGCGCGGCGGCCGGGGCGGCGCAGGATGCATGCATCCCATCAACGCGCTGTTTATTGTCCGAGGCCTGCCAGGCTGGCGTAGCCTGGCGTGGTGGGGCACAGCCATGGCACAGCCATAGCACAGCCATGGCACAGCGCTGCAGCGCTGCCAGCGAGGCCGAGTGGAGGCCCTGTCCATGGCGTGACGTGGCGGGGCGCGGCGCGGCGGGGCGGGGCAGCCCGAGGGGGAAGACCTCTCTGGCGGACGGGCGTTGCTCGCTAGCTGCGCGATGTTGCAGCGTTGCGGCGATGCAGGGCCCGACGCGCCGCCGTTGTTATTGTTCCTTCTCGTTTATTTTTGTCTATGTCTCAGGCGTTTTCGGCCGCCACGCAGGTTTTTATTTTTCGGCCCGCCCCGCTACATTCACGAAAGGAAACAACACCAAGACGACGACAACAACAATCGCGCGCGCGCGCGGGATTTAGAAAAGCGTGTTCATCGGAAACGGACTTATATTGCATTTCCGGCGTCTGTTATCGCGGCGCCTGGTTGTCAATCAAAACGGGGAGGAAGGGGGAGGGGAGGTGCCGCCGAAATCACACTGCCTGGTGTGTATGGCGTGCCTGGCGGTGCAAGGAGCAGCAATGACATCTGCCTTTATGCACGCACTCGATGGACGCACCGACATCGACCTGCTGCGCACACTGGCGCACCAAGTCACAGACACGCACGCACGCCCACGCGCACACACACACACACACACTACATACATACACACACACACACACATACATACATACATACATACATACATACATACATACATACATACATACATACATACATACATACATACATACCATACACACACACACACACACACACAAACACAACACACACTCACACGCATCGCTCGTATCGCTCGATAATTGTCACAAGATGGAGGGAATCGTTTAATTTTCGTTGGACCTCGTTCTTGTTCTCTTTTCCCCCAGCCGCGTCCAGCCGCGCGCAGTGTTTTATGGTCACTGTCGTCTAATGGAGAGAGATGGCTTCCCTTGCTGTGGCCGGCTTGGTGGCCGGCTTGGTGGGCACCGCACTGCGTCGCACTGCGAGGTCCTGGAAGAAGACCCTGCTGCGTGGCGCCGTGGGGCCGTCGCGTCGTGGAGAGGGCCTCGTCCGCCATTCCACGTCGGACTGCCCAAGGCTTGGCCCAAGGCTTGGCCAAAGGAGGGGAACGATTCGTTGCCTTGGAGCGTCTTCTGCAGGCAGTCCTGTAAGGTTGTCTTTGCGCGTAGCGAGGCAAGCGAGGCAAGCGAGGCGACGTGGTCGTCTGCTGGGGGCGCGCCGCCGGGCGCCACGCGGTCGCCGTGGCAACGCGCGTGAGGCGTCGCGACGCCGGGCGGCCCGGGCCCGGCCCTGCCCGGACGTCGCCGAGACGCGGCATGGCGGCACCCCGCGGAGGGGACGCCCAGGGGAAGCCCAGCGAAGCGCCACGCCCAGCGAAGCGCCGCCGCCCCAGCGAAGCGCCACCGCCCCAGCGAAGCGCTGGGCAGGCCGAACCAAGCGCCCTTCCCGCAACTCGCTTGGAGTTTGTGGCAAGCACAGCGTGCGCCGTTCCGGTGGCTTTCTTTCCGCAAACACGGCGAGTGCTGACTCACTTTGTCGATACAGTTGAATCAGCGCCCGCTGTGCGTGCAGTGCGTGGACAGTGGACCGGCACGGTGGCGGCGGGTCGTGCGAATCTCTGTTGCATCGCCGCGCCGCCCCCCGCCGCGCTGCAACAACCGGCTCGCCAACGTGCAACAGGCTGCCAGGCCGGAGGGCGCCGGATTTGGCACGAAGGGAGGAGGAAGCAGCCGCACGCGGCCGCAGGGAGGGGGGGGAGGCTCGATACTGTTTTGTGTGG